TCACGTGATATTTAGTATTATATTGATGATATTATCCTGTAAATAACTGTTATAAGTTCCATTGTGAATAAACAGTGACAATACTAGGTGAATGTGATATGAATGGATTGTGAATGACTCAGATTAATCGTATACATTGAAAACAATTGTTTGTCTGTTAAACTGAGGGAGCTTATTACCGATTCATTAAAAGTTTAATAGATCGGTATCACATTAGTTCATTGCCACGAAATCCTGGAATCATAATGCTCTAATAACTATGATAGAAGTGTTGACAGTTATTTCTGAGATTGTATCTAAACTTTCATCATTTGAAGTGACTCTAATAATTCTATAATCGTTATTTTTTTCTGATTGAAAGGTGAAAAGTGATGAAACCGATATGTATCAAGGTAGTATTTTGATGTCTCTACCTCCTTTAATCTAAATGCCTTAGTCTTACAACTTTAGTGACTTTTATAACGACATAATCACATGCGTTTTGTAGAAGTCTGTCAAGGAAGAGTTTCCGAAATAGATTGAAAAATCTGTTCTGAAGATGTTAAAACTGTTGGTTTACCCATCCTAGAACTGCCTGATCAAAGAAGATCACTTCATCCAGAAGATTTGAGAGAAAGAAGATACAGTATATCAACAAATCTGTCATTACCTATCTGACTGCTGATCGGTAGTCTCGTGATTTTGATATGCTTCGATTAAGGTCTTTTCATTTTCGGTAGCTTGACAAAATTCATGGTTCAGATTGGAATGTTCGGTCTGTATATACTTAATTATTCAACGTCATTCTTATTATTACCGTTTATTCGATTATTGAGACAGGAAAGTTTTTCATTTCAAGCATATTACAATTGTTCGTTTTGTGATAGGTTCACCTGATGATAATTTGTCTATATGAGTATTTGTGTAATTATAATGTGCAGTTATATTTGATGAAGAAAGGACTTGTTTAATTCGAAATCTGTCTGTATAGCTTGAATAACATCTCAATGTCACCACAGTTCTTTTTATTGAAATTTTCAAATTGATCGTAACACACATTTCGGTCTGGAGATATTCCTTCCTGTTGGTAACTTCTAGGCAACACACCGCCGGATACTACTTACATGCCACGTTATGAGTAACATGTACCAAACCTGTACCTCCAGCTGCCAATTCCCTTGTGTAATGAATATACTGCTAGCTATGCTTCATTTTTTCCCATTAGTTTGAGAAAAACGGCTATATAAAATTATCCCGCACAAGCTCCATACATCATGTCAATAACTAACATAAATTCTATCCTGTTTATCAACCCTAGGATCATTTCAACCCTAACTAGTTATATGAACGCATTCAAAGATTATATTTGTTTTGTTTTTACTGACACGCTATCCACTCCTAGTTTCTCTGTTCACATTTTATTAATCTGAGGTTTGTGTAATTTTTGCTCGCTTTTAATTGCTATGCTTACTAAATGTAACTAGATTTTATGTGCTTGTTGAGTCTTCGGCTCATTTCTTCTTATTTTTTCCACTCACCTTACTCTTTATGCTTTCCTAGTACACTAGGTATCGTCTCGCTAGACGCGAACCTCTACACTGTTCGTGCTGTAAGTGTTTTTCTTCTTGTAATTTATGAGGCGTCAAATAAACTTTGAAATAAACTTATCAGTGTGATAAATGCTGCAAAGATAACTTGAACTATGAAAAGTGTATAAGCAAACCTCCAAGTATCATTTCTACAGCTATTAGTCGATCAATACTAGGAAAAGTTCTATCGAGAAATTAATTGATGGAAATTGTCATCTTGATAAATAGACATCATAGAATCTATCTGGAAGGTTTTGTTTTTTGGAAAATCCCTCAATGTATATTTATTTGCGTTATGATATGACTGACTCTTTCTGTTGAGATTTTGGTACTCTATTTGATTCCATTTTGAGATTTTATCATTTGCATATTGTTATTATTTCTTTATCTTGAGCTTATATCGAAGTTTTTATGTTTCCTTCTGAACTATACATATGTTGTTTAAATTTGATGTTTAATACGGCTACAGCCGTATTTGGATTTGATACTCTAGCAGTAACGGACTGGAAGCACTTGTTCTTCCAGCAACAGGATCTATTGTGGTAATTGGAAACTCGAAGGTGTAATATTGTTTTGGTAATTGCCTGTATTTCCCTTTTTGATTATAAATAGAATGTTCTCTCCCAGAATAATCGTTTTGGGACTTGGACCGGGTGGGACGCGTGTGAAGCTACACTGCGAGTTAAAAGCGGACTGCAAGAGTAAATTATAAACTTAAAAGACATTCAATAGAAAGGATATAAATGCAACAACATAGCTACAATTACAAATGCCTTCATTTAATGCATTGAGAAATGAACATAATTAATTTGAAGTATGACAAACTATGAACTATGAAATATTTGAATACATACTTTATCACTGATTAATGACAGATTAGTTTTCTTGTGCAAGAAGATCGATATCAGGGCAGTAAAATAAGAATTCTATACAAAAATAATAAGGAAAATATTTAAAATGCACACTTTCAATTGTAAAATTCTTTTGGACAAACAACCAGATGTGGAAAGATGAAGGGAAGAATAAACGATGACAAGAAATGGAAGATGATAAAATTAAACGGTTAGAATACAACAAAATAAGGAGTTAATTGATACATTTCTTAATTTTCTAACTGATTAAGCTTTGTCAGTAACTTTGATTGTCAATTTCTCGTAATGAATATCTTTGTAATTTTCGAAACTGTTAACTTAACATATTCTTAATTAATGGTATTTTTGAATAAAATACTGTTTTTCGAAAAGTTAAATAACCATTAAGCAACATACAAAGGCTAAGTAAAAAGTTAACAGATAAACATGAGCAGTTATATGTGTGTTTGCTGGTAATGAAAAGATCATTTTTATAAAACGGTCGGAGAATGTCTGTAGTTAATCTATGTCAAGGATTAGATAAATTATCATGAGCTATAAGCGTTCGATCGGTGATGAAGTAGTGAGTGTGCATACTAGAAACAAAATAGCTATTCAGTACTATCCAATTTTCTGTGGAGTTTTTTTAACAAAGTTAACTCCAGATGTGAAATTTCTCAGTCTACAAATCTTCACAACATACTCGCTTATTGCAGTGCTGAATTAAGCCACAGGTACAACTACAATTACCTTTTCTCTTTTAAACCTTATAATTAAGCAAATAAATTCAGTTCAAACTCTTGATATAATCGAATCGGGATAAAATTCATCAATACAATGAGTGGAGGAAAGTGAAAATTAGAGCAGTTTGATGAAAAACTTCTTTCGACACCATCATTCATTAGAGTTGTAGTACAATCGTGTTAATGCTAATCAGTACATACAAAGCTAATCGATAAGACAGATAAATATGCTGTTATGCAATAGAAATTACTTTCATACATCTAATAACAGTTTGCATAATCGTAGGATAAAACTGACTATAAATTAGAAAGGAAAATGTTGGAATAAAATGTCGAATAAATCAATACATTATACATATCATCGATAGACAATTGAGTGTAACACTGATAAGGTCGGTAGTTTTGCATGTCAGAAGAAATTATTTTCAATAATGAATTCAGTAAAAGAAAAGAAAATTTCATTCAATATTACTGTATGTAATGCATAGTTCATGTTTTAAAATTTACTTTAATGTCCTACGCCGCTTGTAAAAGAACAATTTTCTTACATTTTTTATTAGAATATTATATGGACCTGCCTCCAATGAATTGGATATCATCTCCATCTATAAGAATAACTTGAAGTTTCTTCGGAGCACAAAGAATTAGTTGTACTATCCTTAGGAAAGCTCCATACAGTATGGTATGACTCTTTAAAAGATTGACGATTGGTGTATCGTTAAATTCATTGTCTGATTAATTGACAGTAGATCTCTTACTGTCTATGACTTAAATGAATACAGACAAACCCTGGAAGTTACTAGATGCGATCAATGAATCGATAGGATGCTTCAGATAACTTGTTTTGAATACCTACCTGATATTCCAGGAGATTTTGTTTCATGAATAACTAGTATACACTGTTCTACTCGTATTTAGACTGAGTACATAAACGGAAATCAAGAAGTTGAGAAGCTCACACGACTTAAATATTTTTAGGCCCAGAACTTGTTAACGTTTCCAAGAATTACATTCTCTAGTATTTTAAGTCTAATCTAATGTTTTTATAATATAGTTTAAGTTGTTTTATGGATACAGTTGGCAGATGAATAGATAGTTGAGTTTCAGCAATTAAACTTCATGTTGTGTGCTATGAAAATGCTCATACTGCATAATCCACTTAATGATGTAACTCATATTTTATTGCTTACAAACTGCGGTTCTCTTGAGAATAGCTAGTATAAGTAAAGAAAACCGATTCTCTTATGCTCGTCATTTCAAATGCTTGAAACTATTATGAATTCACCTTGTTCGGTAAACGAGAGTGAAGACAAACGATCCAGTGACACGACAGGCTATTCTAATCCGAACGTCTTAAGGCCCCACTAAGTAGAGGAAGAAATCATGATATGGCGTAGAAAGTGTATTCCATAAGCACCCAGAAAATCGAGGTTGACAAGCACGCAAATCGAGTTTATTTATACATCATAGAAACGTCCTGGCGAGAGCCACAAAAATACCTTACTAAAACAACACATCAATCAATGACAGCCAAGGATTTCCCGGGTGGGAAATGTAATCTCCAGAACAACTGATCAGCCCATGTTCCAAAATATAAAATCTAAAATTAGGACCTTTATCAAGTAAGTTCTGGGGATCGAACGTTCCCAACAAATTCTTAGGTATTTCTTCCAACAATAGCTGAAGTGTGAAACATGGAAGACACCGATAGCCTAATAAAAAAAACGTCAATCCACTAGTAACTATGACTTGAATTTAAGAATTTATATTCTAAAATTTAAAACAATTAATCCATTTGATAAGTTTTCATAGAACAATGAGAAGATGTAATTGAATTGAAGAAAAATTTATGATATATCTTTGTGCTTATACATTTCGGACAATCTAGTCACACAAATTCATTTGTCAGGGCATTTTAAATGAAGATTAATAAATAAAAGTTTAAGCAGACCTAAGGTGATAAATGTAAATGAAAGAGAGAGAAACATCTCAACTATTGAACAACTCATCAAACTAAACGTGAAATTTAGGCGTATTATTTAAAAAAAAAAGTAAAAATAAAGGAACCTTCCATTCAAATGTTTCCTTCCTTTGATTAACACAGTTTTTGGTCATATAACAAAAGAGGAATTTAAATATATTTTTTCAAAATTTTATTTTAATTGATTTGGAAAAACACAACAAACAACAACCTTCAATGATGAAAATATTCACAGATCATACTTTATCGCTGCTATCATTTATTTGTTTACTTGACTCTCTGCACATTTCTCATCTGATTCATTCTCGCCCAAATCGACGACATTCAATGAATTAATCCATTGATTTAAAATATCACTGGAATCAATTAGACGTCGTATACTGTCACGTGTTAAATTAACATTACACATTGGACAAATCGAGGATGGAACAGTTTCAACATATCTAAAGGGTAAATAAATCAATCAAAGAAAATTCGATAAATTGTTTCAGGATACAAATGCAACTTATGGAACAGGTTTATGAGAACTAATAGCTAGTCAGTGAGTCAGCTACAACGTGGAACTAACTACATACGTACGCACTGCAATTCAAGTCATCATGCCATGTCAGAAAAGAGATGCAATCGTTAATTTGATTCCTATAGTTATAGGTGTAGTAGAAGTACAAAAGGAATCGGAGAAGATTGGGATTCGAAGATATTATTCAACAAATATAATCCAGTGAGATAAATTTAGAAGAAAGATTAAGGTCAGAATATTAGAATTTTTGAGAGATTGCAAAGAATGGATGCACCTGTGCCAGTACAAACGGTTACTATCGTCTCGCAGACATCAACCTGGTGGTCTACCTCTAGTAACATGGCTCAGTCCAGTTGTCAATGACTTCAAAGATTTTTGCCTATGTTACTTTGTTCAAATAATAATTTAATTTTGAAAGTTTTATCATGAAATTTTCAGAAAAGCATGATAACCCATGTGTATAAAGTTCTCCAAAATGCATACATACATGATCACAAAGAAACGACCATATTAATCTTAAACGACTCAATAAATCCTGTTCTCTTTGTGGATAAAAGTGTTAGATAGATGATGAATAGTCATTGCTTATTCATAACATCAAGGTCTCTCGTTATTCTTTCTGTTCATTGATACCAAGGTCGAGTGAACGATCTTTTTGAAATTCTTTCACATATGTATTGAGATTTGTTTAGATAAAATATTCCCTCTATTGTTGCAGTGTATGTGCTAATTCATGAACAAGAAGTAAATCAGCAGAAAGAATGAGATGACTGTACTATGACTTCTTCATCGGATAGAATAAAATCAGTTGACATTTCAGGAACACTCAATGATAGTGTTTTTTTCTTGTATGTATATCTTCAACAGTGTGCATTCACTTGTCCACAGGTGAATGATAAAACAATTTTTAAGTCTCACCATTGAAATTATACAATGTCACATTGAAGATTTTCAATGAACAGAGTAAGTAAGGCAATGCAAATTGAACTCACCTCATGAGTTCACTGTATAATGCCGGGAACTGACATCCAGGACATGTGGCAAAATCATTTTTTATAACATGATAACCCTTTTTCAAAAAAAAAAGATAATATCTTTGTTATGTTGCATTCAAACAATTAATCAATTTAATATATAATCAATCAAATAGATGTGTTCCATTATATCAAAACATTGTCTTCATGCAGATAGATAGATAGATAGATCAGTTTTGCAGATGGAAAAAAAATACACATCCAACAAACATTCCTCATTTAGACTGTTGATGTTAGATTCACTGAGTGTCTCGATAAGAAAACATCATTATCTGTTGAAACTCCGAAGTTCATAATTTTATCATCATTCAGATAAGTCAGTCAGTCAGTCAGTCAGTGCTGTTACGGGTATGAGGGTGGTTATCACTTCCCGGATGCCCACACCGCGGAAAGTTGTTTCTTGAGGGACCTGAAAAGGAAGATAGATTAGTGTTGGTCTTAACGACCTGAGAGCGTGACCGCAGAGTCCAAGGGACAACTGCTTGAGGCCGGTCACGCACGGCCTTTTTATGAGAAGTTTTTTGAGTGTTAGCTCCGCTCTTGAAAGCCCTTAGTGGGCACCCTTACCCAAGGAGACGGAAATCCGTGAGGTAGGGTGAGGTGTGACATTTTCAGGGTCGACCTTTTCTAACCCTTCCTTCCTTGTGAGAAGGCAGCATCGCTGCAAATGCTTGTTGTCCGAGGGAAACACCTTACTGCCGTCACACCCCTCTACAGTCAGCAGTACGACTTCGCCCTCAAACCTTGAGTAGCTGCTTTTAGTCTAATCGCTCTCCAATCGACCTGCCTGGCATGGTAGAACCTTCAGGAACATAAGTTCCAGCCAATATAGCTCGGTTGAGTTATCACGATAGAGAAGCTCGACCACCACGTCAAGGTAGCAGCTTCGGTTGGGTATTCAGACAAGATTACCACTTAATTAGTTTTCTATCCACACATATGTCGTACAAAAACCCATCCTAACTTTAATTTACATAATAGAGTTGTGGAGATTGTTGAGTTTCATTGGGATCTTGAATCAGTGAATTTTAGAACACCACTTTAAGTCTGGATGCACTAGATAGCCATTTCGTCCTAGTATGGGACTCGTTAGAAGTGCTCGTCAACGACCTCCACTTGCGGAATCGAACCCAGCACCTTTCGTCGCATTGACGAACGCTAAACCTCCAGACCACTGAGCTGGGTCCCAATGTATCGCTTCATGAGGAAAATCTCGGATTTCTAGCGAAAAGCAGTGACCGGTGAAGTTCAACTCTGTTGGGTGTGATGCAGTTACCAACCAAAGACAATGGATAAGGTTGCGCAAAACCGTGGATTGATTGAAGCTAGACAATAGCATCAGTGGATGCCGTCTCAGCGGTCTAGAGGTTAGGCATTCGCGTGAAAGACCAGAGGTCCTTGGTTGGGTTTCAGTTAGTATGAATCGTCAAAGAGCACTGCTGATATGCCTCATACTATCATAAAGTGAATAACTGTATTCATAAGTAAAGATTGTTATTTGTCGAAACCCAAAAAGTTTATTATATTATCGTCATTCAGACAAGATTACAGCTCAGTTAGATTTTATCTCAATTAATAAATTCAGTTATAACTTTCTTAAAATGTTACTTATTTATATTTGAAAATATCAAACCCATGAAGGCAATTTTCGGGTCAGTGATAGCAGTAGAATAAAAAGTATGAATCGATTACTTAATGACAGGTGCACCAGTTAAGATAAGAATAATGAAGGCTTAAGTCATTATTACATGAATGGTTGTAGGCTGTCCCCTTATTTGTCATTTTCTTCAAGTGTACACCTCACTAATCAATTATCTGAACACGTCTTATTATATAATCTGTATTTCTAATGAATGTTATCCGAGAGTCTAGTTTTCTGAGTGATATGCTTGAATGCTGTTACGAAATCACCTTACTCGGTAAACGGAACGAAAGCAATGACTGGATGACACGATAGGCTATTCTAATACGTTGTCTCAGGCCCCACTTACAAAGGTAAAAGGTCTTGATGAGGTGCAGAAGGAATATTCTTCATGTACCCAGAAAATACGAGGCGTCTAAGCAAGCACATCCAGCTTTTTTATATAACGATAGTAAAGCCATTGGGATAGCCACAAACTACTGAAATAATCCATCAATCAATCACAATTAAGGTTTTTTCGGGGCGGGAATGTAAGCTGAAGGTCAAGTAAACATCTTTGGCGCGAAAACATGGAAATTAAAAAAATTCAGAATAAAGTTACTAAATTAGAACCTTTCGAAGTGAGTTCTGAGGATCCAACACTAGGCCGTTCGATGTTCTACCTATTACGCAATACTGATTTGAGTCTTTATGGTTCTTATCATAGTTAGTATACCTTTTACCACATTATCAATCCCTACTTCTTGTTTCACTGTTAGAGATGACTCAAAAATTGCTTTGATTGGCTTACTAATTTCAGATGTACATAAATATTATTGTATATTACAGTAAAGCCTAATGAAGTTGCCTATTTGATTGTATCCATTCGGATAGTATTTATGCCTAACTCATCCATAGAACTTACCGTGATCACACAATATGGTATTGTGCTTCGACATTCAGTACAGTATAAACTAGTCTCCAGTAGAGGAGATCCACAAGACGGGCATGGTGTAGACGTCTCAACAATAGAATGATTTGATTGGCTTAATTTAGAACCAACACCTGACAAATCTCCAACACCATTCGTTTTTAAATCAGGTCGACGTACAAGTGTTTCAAATTTACGACGATATTTTGCATCTAATTTATCACGATATTCAGGACGTAGTAACATGGCAGCATAGCTGTAACTCGCTGATTTTAAACCAGCTTTTTGACATTCAATGACAGTACTTGTTAAAATCGGAACAATATCTGAAAAAAATTGAATTGATATTAATTAACCATATGTATTGTAAAAAAAAATTATGAACCGATGAATGTTAGATCAATATTAGAAACTCGAGAGCACTGGAAGGCCGTTTCGTCATAATAGGAGACTCCTTAGCAGTGCACATCCAAGAACCCATTGCCGGGAATCGAGCTCAGAACCTTCAGCATTGTGCTCAGTCGCTTAACGTCTTGTGACGACTGAGCTGGCATCTAACGGTTGTAATAGTTTTGATAACCATAGAAAATTTGACTAAAACTACAACTATCACTGAAAGTGTGGCTATTTCTACAAAACTGGCATTTTATCTTCATAACTTCATTTTATATCAGACAGACAGACAGACAGATACGACGCAGAATTTCCTACATAATACATCAGTTCAGGCTACCATGCCCCATCAGCACACAGACGCAACTGTCATAGTGGATTTTATTGTTCATCCAAACTGGTTTCATATCCCGCACTACGAAAAGTTACATTATAAAGCAAAAAATAGCTATTTCGTGTTTCTTTATATGATCATAGTTTTTCAATTTTATTTCATTATACAAATATAATCAATTATATAGAGTTATTGTGGTGCGCGCTACTTATAAGTAGTATATGACGCGAGTGAAAACGTAATGTCTGGCAGCAGAACATGGGGGAAGATCAAGAAAGGAAGAAGAGTGGGAACACAATGGAATTTGTATGAAACGCATGAATAGTAAAATTTCAGACAATGGATTGATGATGGATTGAAGATTTGCAAATTAACCGTTTACGATATGGTTTTCCTATTTTACTGAGTAACTCTGTAATTTCCGCTAAATACAATTTGGTTGCCCTCACCTGTGTTCTCCTTCACTGCATTATGAATAAATTAGTATGTTTTTTTTAATATTAAAAATGAATAAAGCTTTTCTAATTATCATTACATGTTTCATACTAAGAAGATAGATTAGATTTCTACAAAGAAAACTCATTGGAAATTTTTATTTATATATATTACTTACGAGCAGGAAATTTACTAATACTTTCTGATACACGAATTAACATCCTGGCACCAAGTAAATGTTCACCATTTTTAACATGAACCTTACAAGGGAAGAGAATAAACAATGAAGTATTTGGAGTGAAATAACATACATGTATATATATTTGAACAGAGAAACGAGAAGACATATTTTGTGAGATAGTACCATTTCGTGTCATCAGAACACAACTACAACGAAGCTGATAGCAACTGATATGCCCAAGAAACCAGTGTACCTACAGTTACCTTTCAAGGATGATCATTGCATGAAAATTACAACCAAACAGACTGCAGCTGCATTAAAAAAGACCTTCAATGCAGCTAATCTGAGGCTTATCACAACAACTCAATCGATCTCAGTTACCCCAATCAAGTCTCCAAGACCGATTCAGTCCAAATCCCACTGTATTTACCAATTCACATGTAACTGCGAAGAAAGTTACTTAGGTAGGACAGATCGCCGATAGGAAGACAGGATAGGGGAACATATTCCAAAGTGGTTAATCAAATCCATGATTCATCAACCTAGCCCGTCATCTCAAAATCGATCAAGAAACCCAGCCTCGTCCATTGCAAAATATCTAATGATGAGTGGTCATCAAATTGACCCAAAATCAGCCTTTAGAGTTGTGACATGTCATCAAAACCCACACATACACACTGAAACTACTCGAAGCTATCTTGATTGGTCGGAAAAGTTCAACTTTATGTGTTCAAAAACAACTGTATGTTGACCTTTGTTTACCATGGTTCTAGTGGGTAAATGTCATGCTAAATAAGAAATTTTGACCTTGTCTTCAAAACTGTATTTACACAAATAACATGTTGCTTGTATGTGACTGACGAGAAAGCACGCAATGGTACTATCTCACAAAATATGTCTTCTCATTTCTCTGTTCCGATTTATCAAAGGGAACCACTGTTTTGAATATATATATATATATATATATATATATATATATATATATATATATATATATATATATTCACGTAACAGAAAAAAAATATTTTTGCAAGTTATTCATCTAGTATACAAACCAAGCCGGGCTATTGTTAATCATTTAAATAAGTTTCAATGTACAGAAAAAAAATTCGGTAGATTTTATTGATGTGTGTTACGTCCTATTTGGGACTCATCAACTAGATATACTTACAGCCTAGTGTTAAAATTAGCATTGAGATATAGACTTGGTACTTTGAGCCTCAAAAGCAGAACGTATTATTTGCTGAGTTACTAAATTCAAATAGTTAGTAGCTATAAAATATCGGAATGATTCATTAAGGATACTCTTATGTTTCAGGAAGGATTCGACTTGGTTGTGAATAATTTGGTGTTTCTTGAGAGAGCTGAGAAGGAAACTGGATTAGTGTTGGTCTTAGAGACTCGGGAGCGTGACAGCAGAGATTAAGGGATAAATGCTTGAGGCCGGTCACTCACGGCCTTTTTATGGGTAGTATTTAAAGTGTAACCGCTATTCTTGCTTAAAAGGCCTTACCGCCGGAGACGGAAATCCGTGTGGTAAGGTGAGGTATAACATTTTTAGGATCGACCTTTTATAATCCTTCGTTCCTTGTGAAAAGGCTGCTTCGCTGCAGATGCTGGTTGTCAGAATGAATCACTTTTCAGCTGTCACACCTCTCTACAGTAAGCAGTACGACTTCGCCCTCATAACTTAAATTTCTGCTTTTAGTCTTATCGTTCTCCAATTTACCTGCATGGCGTGGTAGAACCTACAGGAACATATGCTCCAGCTAATATAGTTTGGTTGGGTTATCTATCACGAGAGGCAAGCCAAATCACCATGTCAATGTAGCAGCTAAGGTCGGGCATATGTTTAAAGTGACTTATTAATTGTAGTATTTAATATCAAAAGAGAAGATATAATAAACCGTTTCAAGTGAAATAGATTCAAGAAAATTTAGCAAATTTATATACCATACGCAAACAGATATTGTAACCTATTAACAGTAGCAAAAGACTATCGAAATTAAAATACTTGGTTATGTTATGAACAAAAATTAATGATAAGTAAGAATAAAATTTGTCAATCTCAATTAATTAAAAGCACAATTAGGAGTTAGGAAAAAACCCTTAGACAAACATTTAACAGTGGAAGATTTGAGCGTTACAAGGGAATATCAGTTAGGTTATTACATTGTTGAAAACAAATTCACCACTATTTCCATGATAGTAAGTTTTGAGGAGTACAGTTTTTTCTTTATTTGATCAACTAAAATGATTTCATAGTATCCTACTTGACAATTTGTGTACATAACATATCTAAACATTAATTTACTGATTGTCCGTGAATGAATGAATGCTTCTATTAATAATATCTCAAGTAGGCATTTATGTCTGTTCTACTCTAGTAACTTTGATGACCGTCAAGCATACACTGAATTTATACTCATAATTCAGACCAATGTGTATCTACCAGTAATGGAAGAGTTTAAAGAATCAATTAACAAATAAACGCATTCATGGAGATATGTTGATGAGAAATGTATTGTATGCAACAGATTCATTAGGAACAATTTGAATGACTGTTGAATTTGCTTACTTCAAAACTGTGTCATGATTGTATACTGCAAACAATTATCAATCAACCACCCTCAAAAATCTTTCATATTCTAACCTTGATAGTCACCAGACATAATGTTCAGATCAGTGTTATATATTAAGAAGACGTCAGGGAAACTAAGCTCCACATTACTGTCTAGTGAGTATAAGCTTATCTGAACTTATATTTCGATTGAAATTCATATGGTTCAGTCCCATTGTCTATGACTTCATGGATTTGTGCCATGATTTGGTCTGACCGCCTCTAGCTTCCTTCCAACCTATTCCTACACCGCGAAATATAGCTTGACGAGGTAGTCGGCGGTTGAGCATTCGTAAAACATGTCCCAACCACCTTAACTGATGAAGTTTCGTCACTTTATCTATTCATCTACCATCCTTACCTAGCACCTGTTTCCTAACAACAGCATCGCTCACTCGGTTGTCCAAGGATATACGAACAATGCTTCAAAGACACATATGATCGGAAACAAGCAACCTACGAATATCTTCTATTCTGACTGGCCATTTTTCACAGCCATATAGTAACGGAGCGAACTACTGAGCAGTACACTCGTCGATTGGTCAGCAAACGGATATAGGGCTGGCAAAAGCTAATCGAGACTTCTGTATCCATACTTCTTTGGTACACCTTTCAATGACAGACACTGCCACAGAGCCTTACGATCGACAGAGTCGAATGCCACCTTAAGGTCCAGGAAGACAACGATTGTAGGACGCCTAAATGTGTGTCTGTGTTCAAGGACCTGTCGTGGTGTGAAGATATGGTCTATACAACCACGTCCAGGTTTAAAACCAGCCTGGTTTTCTCTAGTCTGCTCTTCACGAGCTCTTGTTAGGCGTCTAAGGATAACTGAGGCTAACAATTTAGACACGATATAAGTTTCACTGATTCTCCTGTGATTGTCAAAAGACGTTTGTCCTTTCTTGTAGACTGGGACAATCAAGGATTGAGACCACTAAGATGCGATTACGTCCAGTTCCCAGTTTCTACTTAAGATCTCAGTCAATCTGACTGTTAAAACTTGACCACCACCCTTAAATATCTCAGGGGTCATGATTATCAACAAGCACAGAGTGAGTTTAAGAAGCCATTTTAAATACTTTTAATTAATCACCATTAAAACGTATATGTTACTCATGCACCTTAATATTTCATTTTGATATGCTTGAACTATTACGAGTTTACCTTAGTCAGTAAACGAGAGCGAGGATCGAGTATCCGGCGACACGACAGGCTACTCTAATCCGATTGTTCAAAACCCCACTGACTAAAAGAAGAAGACTTGATACGAAGTAGAACCTGCATTCTACAAGCATCCAAAAAGTACAATGTCCGAGTCCAGAGAAGAATCAGGATCCCGGACCACGATTTAAGTCCGGGCCATAAAACATTACAGGTAATACCTATTTATACAGTCAGTTCGAATAGGAGCCAACACTGAAGTATGTGACATTAACAGTTAGGACGACCAATATGAAACAACATTTGAAGTGACATTGATGGTAAGGATGACCATAATATTGACCAGTAGGGATTAACCAATAAGAAGTGACCAATAGAACTAGACTCACGATATTTGACGAATATCCTAACAGTACATCAATATCAAATAACTTTAGAATCAGACTCAAACAAAAATCTTGGTCACATATTTTTAGATACTGTGGATTGATTGATCTCATCCTACTCAAGCTCGAATTCTCCAATTATTCAGCTGTTTCTAGTTTTTATCTAACATAAATTGTAAAAATTTTTTCTCGATTTATCAAAGCCAAAAAAATAATAATGAACAAACCAATTACCACTCAAGATTTAAATCTGTTCAAAATCAATAACCTACCTTTGCAAGTATATACGAATGTAATAAAGTTAAATTTTCAAACATTTCAAACGGGACATGTATGCGTCGTTGTCGTAATTCTTGTACCATACTAAATAATAAATCATGTGCACTACGATAATTTCCACTGATCTGTTCTTCACTAGCTATAATCACTGCAGTTCTAGCCGCTTCTTTATATTGTTTCAATACCATGTATAAACGAAATAAATATCTAGCATCTTTCACGATACCATCAGTTTCACCCATTAAATAAACAATGACTAAATGAGTTAAACGGCTATCGTTTGCTTCACCGACTACTTCAAGTGCTAAATCAATAGCTGGACTATTCTCTTCATAAGGCACATGCAACAAATGTTTGATAGCCTTTGAGAATATGAAAAAAATAACAAAAAAAATTAATTCTAATGAAATTAATAATGTCTAACAGACAAAATATGCAATAAATGCAGCAGTCAGGCTTACTAGTCAATGTTCTAGTGGTAAAGTGTTACACTATGATATTTGGTCGTACGAGTTTTCAGCTGACATGGTGAGTCGTTTCGCTTCAATGGAGACAAAGTTACTGGGATAGTGAATCACAAAATAAATGCACTAACAGAAATTGCTTATCGTGCAGTAAGAATGATCACTCTATACGAAATGAATAGCTTCTTGAGATATCGATGGGTTGATTTTTCTTGGTACTACTAACCGCATTTACATCAATTTTTCATGTACCTACCAACTCATATTCATTGGAAGAACAGTGTAAACAGTAAAGGGTTATATCTTCTAGCGCATTTCAAAGAATTAGAGACAGTTCAATAGTAAAGCATTTAGTAGATGACTAGGGTATTAATGACGGTTTCCCAATTCTTCAAAAGTATCTTCAATTAAAAAATGTAGTATATTCATTTTACTAAAGCAGTAGCCATTAAATTATTCAGAACATATTTGTGTGTCCAGAAAGCGACCTTAGTGATTTCGAAATTTTCAGTAGATCACCAGTAATTATTATTATTATTATTATTATCTTATCATGGTGTTCATTTACTGAAACCATAAATCGATCAATGTTGGAACAACATTAAAAACCTGGGAGCACTGGACGGTCGTTTCGTCCTAGTATAGGGCTCGTCAGCAGTGCGCATTCATGTCAAACGAGCAGATTGATTTCATGTTTGTGACAACAGTGGAAGACAATCATTTCATTTATGTATTGTATGTTAACTCTATAGCCTTAATGATACGCGCGTCAATTGATATGGTTGAAACTATTACTTCACCTTAGTTGGCAAACAAGAGCAAAGGCAAATGATTCAGTAACACGATAGGCTATTGCAATCTGTTGTCTCAGGCACTGCTAACTATATCAAGAAATCTTGATATGGCGTAGAAAGTGTATTCTACAAGCACCCAGAAAATATGAGGTTGCCAGGTACACAAACCGAGTTTATTTATGCATCCTATAAACTTCCTTGGGAGAGCCACAAAAATAGCGTACCAAAATAATTAATCAACCAATGATAGTCAAGGATTTTCCGGGTGGGAAATGTAATCTCAGGTCCAATTGAGTAGCCAATGTGCGAAAGTATAAGATCCAAAATTATGACCTTCATCAGGTGTGTTTCGGGGATCTAACGTCCCCAACACTTAATAATATCAGCTAGGTCGATGATGTCATGTGGTCCTACATTGATTAAGACTGACTAACTGAGTGACTAATGAATTCAGTTAATCTCAATTCATTTTTAATGACCTGAGTCACGTCTTCAGCCATTTTCTAAATTCAATATACTAACTAATATGATATAGAATAGGTTAACATCGTTTCATTACTTTACCTTTTCATATTGTTTAGCTAATAAATAATATTTACCAGCTAAATACCAATTCTTTTCATTTTCAAAATAACATGCAATACTTTGATAGTCACTGGCAGATCCTTCTGCACCTGAAATAAAATTGAGCAAATTGGTAAACAGATATATAATTATTATTTTTTTAAAAATTGAATTCGAACTGTTTACAATGAGTTCTTAGATTATACTCATCAAAAATCACTATTGGTGTGATATGTTACGAATATACCGAATAGGGTTTTTAGATTCACTGAAATCATGAATCGATCAATGTTAGAGAACCATTAGAAACCTGGAAGCAGTATGTTAGGATATTCATCCAATATTCGGTAAGTCTATTATTTGGTAAGTCTAATTCTATTGGTCAATATCATGGTCGTCCTAACTGTCGATGTCACATACTGCAATGTTGGTTCCAATTCGAACTAACTGTATAAATACGCATTATCTGTAACGTTTTATGATCCGGACCAGCATCCCTAGTCCAGGATCCTGATTCTTCTCTGGACTCGGACCTCTTACTTTCTGGATGCTTGTAGAATGCAGGTCCTACTTCATATCAAGTCTCCTTCGTTTACTCAATGGAGGTTTGGAGCAATCAGATTAGAATAGCCTGTCGTGTCGCCGGATACTCGATCCTCGCTTTCGTTTACTGACTAAGGTAAACTCGTAATAGTTCAAGCCTATCAATTGACGTGTCTACCTGGATACGTAACACAGTAGAAGGCCTTTCTATCCTATTACGAGGATTGTCACCAGTGTTCATTCACGACTCCATGAACAGATGAGGTTACGCAATATCGTGAACCAGTTGAAGTTAGACACTAACATCGAAGGATTTCGGCTTAGAGGTATGGACATCAAGCATTCACTCGTAAGACCGAAGATCATGGATTCAGTTCCCGCTCACAGACTCAAGGATGCCCACTAATGAGGAGTCCCATACTAGGATACAATGGCCTAACAGTGCTTCCAGGTTCCCAACGGTTGTCTCACATTGATCGATCCATGATTTTAAGGAAACTCAACAATCTCCACAATACTTTGATGACAATATCTCTACTAACGAAGATTTTCTATTGAATCCCGATCAAAACACATAACATTTTTAGTACATGGTTTCATTTATTCAAATAAGTATTTCTTATGTTGCGGATGTATTTAAATAATATGGTAGCGCTATAAAACAAATCTTAATTTGTGGACGTAAAACCTTCCGGTTATGGATTTGTAAAATGACACTTTCAAATACTCTTATTTTTCGTACGATTTCAGCAATTTTCCTCATTAAAATTCAATGAATGGAATCAACTTTATCATTCTGAATACTAAATCACTATAAACAATATCTTTAATAACTACATGTTTCTAGTTAATGTTATTTTAGCGAGATTTCTTGTAATCAACAAAGTTGCCAACTTCAAACCTAACCTTCCTCCTCTACCCATGCTTAAGACCGGTGTAACTATTCCTAATTCACCAGCTAGTTTACTTATTTAGTGAACAAAACAAGCCATTTCTTTATGAGTATACAGTAAGACAAAGCAAAACTGAAATGAAGCCGATTGATGTGTAATAAAACATGAATTTTTAATTTTTGCTCGACTATACCACAACAGTCGTTTTGGAATTCAACTGTTTTAACTAATAATCACTGTATGGAAAAGAAGACTAATAATCGTAAACTCAAACATAAACACAAATACACACACACACACCCATTTAATCAAACAAAATGATCATTTTATTACCAATAAATTCTGCATACAATTCCATTTGTTTATGCTTTCTTGCTAAATCAAATGCAGCATCGTAACATTTCGATAGAACAAGAAATTGTATTGCTTTAGCTGGTTCATTATTTTGTATAAAATATTGAGCAATTAATTTAGCACCTTCCAAACTATGTGATTTATTCAATATACGTATAGCTTCATTAGGATTGTTCAATTTGTCAAGTTGTATTCTTGAAGAGAATTTGTGAAAAGTTTTAAAAAACACACATATAAGCGAACAATATTATTGTTTTCGATTAGACTGGTATCATCAGGCTTTACTCTCTCTAATATACATGAATATTTATATATGAAAATGTTTTGAACCAATCAAGGCAATTCATGAGTCAATAATCACAATGAAATGAAATAGAGATTACGTCACTGCATATACTCAGTCATGTTGGTAGATGTATACTACCTGGTTGGGGTCCGCGAGACGATAGTCATCAATGGTAAGAGACCTTGAACGACATGGCTCAAAATCGTTTGCCATGGCGCAAGTGCATCCATTCGTTGAGCTCTTTCAAATCCTAATCTTCTGGATTCGTCAGCACCTCTACCTTTTTGTCTTTCTAACATTATCTCACTGAATTATACTTCTTGAATAATATCTTAAAACCCTAGTCTTCTTCATTACCATTAATACCTCTACTATCTTTGTCACTATGTGATTTGACTTGACATTTGCGTCTCTGTGCTAATGTGGTATGTGGCAACATGAACTTATGTACATACGTACGAAGTTCTACGTTGCAACTGACTGACTGACTGACTACATATACTGGGTAAAACTACAAGTTGATAATAGGAAGATAGGTGAGTACTGATAGTAGTAAGAAAAATAAAATACAATAACCAAAGTTCAACATTGTAAGCAGTAGGTCAAACGTGGATAAACAGACTTAAAATAATCCTTACAAAACATTCAAACTATTACGCAATAAGAAGTGTGCACATAAATTAGATTGTCATTTGTTATCGTTGAAATATTTGTATGGTTTTTTGTATTGTATTGTATGGTATAATGTTTTACAATAGAAGCGCATCATTAAAACAGTGATTTAGAAGTTGCACTACTTACAGCACAATGTAGAGACCTTAGAATCGAATATGTACGCACGATATTTTCACAACTGTCATGACATATTTAGAAAAACAACATCCAGATTTCTTAGATTGACTTATGTTTGAATTCTATCTATCGAGCTGTTTCACTCATCTTATACAGATGTCATTAGTTACAAGTGAAAATTGGATATGCGAAATCTTCATTAATAGTAAATAAGTTGAAAGGATAGCTATGATGCAGTTTCCTTCTCTGAGCTGGATGTTTTCATTGTGGAGCTTTCATTGTTCTCCAGGACACCAAATCATTAGCCTAAATTTCAGGTAGAAGTGAGGTATTCGAATTTCTCCAGGTAGCTTGTTCTGTTAACTTCGATCTTGATTGGTTATTATTGACCTTAAACCTGTCAATGTCTGCACCTTTGTTTTGATTGTATCCCCCTTTTTGATCTGCTTCTTTATCCTATGTCACCTATGATTTTTCTGATTGGTTGATAAATTGGGTCAACGTCGATGTGTTTGTTGATTGCTGATTGACCTGAGTGCCAAACTTCTAAAAATTCTCTCACGTTCTTTCTGCTCCTTCTATCCAGTTTTTTCACATTGTTCCAATCGAATTTATGTCCATAATTGTCCGTATGTATTGATATAAGGGAGGAAATGTTATTCGCATATGACTGATAATTGGTGTTCACGCGAATGAAGCTGTCTTACGTAGTGTTTTTTGTGATCTGAGCATTTTATAAATGACATTTGGTTTTTCTCCCTTTGTCATTTTATCCTATGGTCTACATAGATAGGATTGAGTGAAATGATTCAGTTGGTTTATGTGCTACACCTATTACAAATGGTTTCAGAAGTCGTGCTGTATGCTCCGATCTGTCTTTTACATAGAGTAAGATGATCCGTCTGTTGGGTACTGTGCTTAACTACATTTCTGTTGATAGTTTCAGCTGATATTTATTGATGAAGTTGCGTCGATAGCCATTCTTTTGAAAGATGGTCATCAGATATTTTTCGTTGCTTTTTTGTGCCGCATATGTGTCTCCACCCGCTAAAATAAAGTTTAGACGCATTTCATTTAGTGAATCCTTGGGTTGTTGCTACTGTAGTTGAGAATTAGTTGTGTATGAGTTGGCTTCTGAAAAACTTAAGTCTCCAGTTTTCCTGTGTCAGTTCTGGCGATCAGTACACCTAGGAACGATACTTTGTTATTTGACTCCTGTTTCATTATGCTTTCTGTGTCATCAAATACGTTGTTGATCTGATTGTACGTGTTCTCCAGCTGATGACGTATGTAGTATATGAATAACGAACCTATGTTTTCGGCTTGAACAGTGGTAAAATCGATGCTTCTAGTCTCTTCATTGTACTTGTAAAGTGTTATTATCGGCTACTGTTTTTCAAACAAACTTCAATATATCCGTATATTGATTTCTTCTTGTTTGTGTAGTATGATATAACAACCCTCCTTGTTTTCCAAAACAGCTATAATCTTAACCAAGTTTGCTTTGAACTACCATTGTGACTTAAGACATTATTGACGTTATTCGATTTAGGCTTACTACAAACGGATCGATAAAAAATATTTTTAATTTATTTATTTGCATCTTAATTTTGATGCAAATGCATTCACTTTACTTGTTATGCACTTTTGTTACAACCATTTGACTATTCATCAATATTTGAACGATTCGTTTGACAGCTAATTTTGTTCTGAGCGGTAATCCTTAAAATCAATTACTCGATTATTAGTTAAATGCAGTGGCCTCTATATTACACGCTTAATTGTTAATGTTGGGACTAGGTAAAAACAAATTGGAGAGGTAGTTATTTTATGATATGCCTTAAGAGTAAGAAAAAACGTTTTACAAATCTAGGAGTTTTCAATACATCATAACTTCCTGATCGAGTTCCTATAAATGGAGCCACTCACTTGTTTGAGACACTATCAAATATGCGTCATCTTGATTCTGCTGCAGTTTGCTATTAAGTTATTTATCAAAGTGAGGAGAATGCTCATCACTGAAAGTATTCCTTAGTGTTTGTGCATAGAATCGAAGTGTTTGTCATATTAAATGCAACACTTGTTTACTTATTCCTATTTTAGTCAAACTGCTTATCCATTTTCGTCTTTTTCACATTGTTAGCGATTCATTTTGTGTAGCGCTGATGCAGTTTTAAGAGATTTTATTCGTATTCAGTAAATAAACGATATTAAAATGAAATTTATCATGTGTTCAAAATCTATGCCCTTTAAAAATACATAAGTTGGAGAATTAAAGTTTACACACGAAACCTTGGGTTATGTGTTCGACTCCTGGCTAAAGGATTAATAGTGCACACTGTTGAGCGATTTCGAACTAAGATGAAACAAGTGTTTTGTACTACCAGGTTTTCAATGGTTTTCTAACTTGGTTTGGTTTGTGATCTTGTGGATAAAATTCAATATTGTTCACAAACTCTAACCAATTAGGAAGTTTCATTCAAATTTAAACAATGTTAACCTGATAGTTATTGTAGACGTTAGATCCCCTGAACTCACTTGGAAAAGGTTTGAATTTTGGGAGTTTTTTTCTGAAATTTTTGAATTTTCATGTTTTTGCGCCAGTTGACCTTTAGCTTACATTTGCCACTCGGAAAATCCTTGACTGTCATTGGTTGATGGATTATTTTAGAACGATATTTTGTGGCTCTCTCAACGACGTTTCTATCATTGTATAAATAAGCTTGATTTGTGTGCTTAGACACCTCGTATTTTCTGGGTCCTTGAAGAGTACACCTTCTACTTCTTATCAAGACTTCTTGCTTTTGTTAGCTGATCGTGTCACTGAGTCATTGCTCTTCGTTCTGTTTACCGAGTAAGGTGAACTCGTAATAGTTTCGAGCATACCAATAGTCATTATATAGTTATAAAGATTGTTGTTTTTCATTGAATTCATGAATCACACATTGTAGGAGTACCAATAGAAATCCGGAAGCAACGGACGGTCGTTTCCTCCTAGTATGGGACTCTTCAGTTTTCCATGAAATGTTGGATCAGTAGTCTAGGGGTTAAGTATACGCGAGCAAGACCGAAGGTCCGAAGTTCGATTCCTGCGAGCGAGAGCAGTGGATGCGCAATGCTGACGAGTCCATTATGAAGACAAAACGACTGTCCAGTGCTTCGAGGTTTCTGATGGTGGCTTAACAATAACGGGTGCTTTATTTCAAAGTTAACTTGGCCATAATTTAATATTTACTATAGTTTATTGTTGACTAGCTCCAAAAAAATTTCGTAGACTCATCTAATTCAGTTCCCATTTTTGTATAAGTCAACAGAATCTATCCAAAAAAGAACCACTTACCTTATGACTGAGTCAAAATCATTTGCTGTTTCATAAGCTACCACTGCTTCTTTATATGCTCCATCACTTTCACGTGCTTTAGCATATTGTAAATGTAATCGTGGTGCATTTGTCACATGCATTAATAGTTCACCAACTTTTGCATAATTTTTACATTTAAGATAAACATTCACAGCGGATTCATAAAGTCCAGCTAGTTCGTATAGATTGCCTGCTTCTTGCCATTGCTAGTTGGATTTTGAAGAAGAGAAAAAAAGATTGTTAATTGGAAAAATACATTTTGTACTTATATAGTTGGTTTTCTATTCTGAATAAAATAAATCTATTATAGTCTTTCTACAAGCTGCTACCTTGACGTGATGGTGGGGCTTGCTTATCGGGATGACCCAACTGAGGTATATTGGCTGGAACATAGGTTCCTGAAGGTTCTACCATGCCAGGCAGGTCGACTGGAGAACAATTAGACTAAAAGCAGCTAGCTACTCAAGATCTGAGGGCGAAGTCCTATTGCTGGATGCAGAGGTGTGACAGCAGTAAGGTGTTTCCCTCGGACAACAAGCATCTGCAGTGATGCTGCCTTATCACAAGGAAGGATGGGGTTAGAAAAGGTCGACCCTGAAAATGTCACACCTCACCCTACCTCACGGATTTCCGTCTCCTTGGGTAAGGGTGTCCACTAAGGGCCTTTAAGAGCGGAGCTAATTCTCAAAAAACCATTCATAAAAAGGCCGTGCGTGACTGGCCTCAAGCAGTTGTCACTTGGACTGTGCGATCACGGTCCCAGGTCTCTAAGACCAACACTAATCTATCTTTCTTTTCAGGTCCTTCAAGAAACAACCTACCAAGGTGTGGGCAGCCGGGAAGTGACAACCACCCTCATACCCATAACTGCACACGAGACCAAATTGGTCAAAATCATATCCTTGCTACAAGGTGATAATCTAAATTATCAGCTAAGAATGAATTACTGCAATGAAAGATCAACTCAGTGTCAGTTAAACATCGGCAACATGGAGTCTTCCGAATGAGAGACTTGGCATAGACTGCTGCTACATCAAATATTTGTACGACGAGAAGAGATCAATAGCATAGAAATCAAAATAATACAGTAACAATGTTAGTGTGAAAAATATTAAGCATTAGGAATATGGTTCAAAGAGGTAGAATGAAAAAGTATGTTCGAAGATTTATTGGAACTCAAGGTCTAGAATAAGTGAGGTGAAGAGTAAATGGACCGTTGCTATTGTGACCTACTGTGATGCATTTTACAAGCAGTCATATAACTTTAAAACTTACTTCGACCCTAACCAAGTAGTTTTCATCTGCTACCATTAGTCAGATCAGCAGTCAGTGTAACCTGATTTACCCATCTCTGGATTTTCTACACTGTAGAAATTGTGCCAATGAACCGATCGTATTTTTATACTAATTCCACCCGATCATTCCCATACATACGTCACTAGCGCAGTACTGCTCAAGTTGCAACAGGTGAAAACTTGAGCTTTACCTTTGGCTGACATCTTTTATGAAATATTTTCGAAAGATCGACACGAAGAGATAGTTCGATTGAGGTATTACATATGGGTTGATGATAAATTCGCCATACATAATAGTCTCAGATAAGTACTGATTTGCTTGGTCTACTGCAGATGTTCACAATTTTTAAATCACAAAATTCAAGTATTTAAAATGTGTGCCTATTTAATTGGGTATCGATAGCTGGGTGTGCCTACATCAGGGTACAGATGTTCAGTTTGTAACTCGAGTAACATACTGTAGAACAAAAAATTACACCATAGATTTCACCTTAAGTCACAATCCTTCCCTTTTTATCGAAGCGATTCAAACTAGTTACATATATGACAACAAAGACTCATTAAAACTCAATCCTGAATTTTAACAATGGAATAATACAAATTTTTACTGATTTGTTAACAAATATTCACCGATCACAAGTATTTTAAAGACAACATTATCATGAATAAAGTGCATACTTTTGCATAATTGTTGCTTTTAATGACCTATAATGTTGTTCAGTATGGTCTAACTCACTTTCGATTGTTCCAAAATATCAGCACATTCTTTTTGTAGATTAGAATTTCCAGTTGTAGAAGCTAATTCCATTCCTCTGATATTCGAATTCAAGCGGTTCAATGTTCAAGTAAGGAAAAAAGTAGAAGAAAAAAGGAAACATGCTTCAATGTGATGATGGTTGAATGATTTTTAAAAATCAGTACAATACACATAAATAGTATTTTATCCAAAAACGTTGGCAGAAATTCGACTTAATGAATATCATTATCAGAAGTTTTTATTAGCAGTGAATTTACTGTTGATTCTGTAATATTTTCCAACTAGTTTTTTTTCAAAATAATAAAGAACTAGTCATAATAATGTTGAAGACTTTATTGGATAAGAAGTAACATGTCAGTTTATTTTGGTTTTGACTGTTAATTATTTATACAAACAACGGTTGTTGCTTTCAGGAAAAAAAATGGATTGAATATCTTCACTTTTAAGTTAGTAACTTTCTGTCTTTGAAACTATCCTAAGCTAAGGTATTATTCTCACTTTCAGTCAGTCAGTCAGAGGTATGTATGGGTGTAGGAAGGATTTGATTTCGACCAATTTGGTCTAGTGTACGGTTACGGGTATGAGGGCGGTTGTCACTTCCCGGCTGCCCACACCGTGGAAGGTTGTTTCTTGGGGGACCTGAAAGGGAAGATAGATTAGTGTTGGTCTTAGAGACCTGGGTGCGTGACCGCAGAGCCCCGGGGGACAACTGCTTCAGGCCGGTCACGCACGGCGTTTTTATGAAAGGTTTTTTGAGTATTAGATCCGCTCTTTTTGAGCCCTTAATGGGCACCCTTACCGATGGAGACGGAAATTCGTAAGGTATGGTGAGGTGTGACATTTTTAAGGTCGACCTCTTCTAACCCCTCCTTCTTTGTGAGAAGGCAGCATCGCTGCAGCTGCTGGTTGTCCGAGGGAAACACCTTACTGCTGTCACATCTCTCTGCAGTCATTAATACGATTTCGCCCTCAGATCTTGAGTAGCTGCTTTTAGTCTTATTGTTCTCCAGTCGACCTGCCTGGCATGGTACAACCTTCAGGAACATAAGTTCCAGGCAATATAGCTCGGTTGGGTGATCACGATAGGCAAGCCCGACCACTACGTCAAGGTAGCAGCTACGTTCGGGTATTCTCACTTTAAACTCGACAGTATGCTTTCATCATTCTAAACTAATACGAAGCATAAAGCCAGTACTTTATCTCTTGGAGTTTTTCGTTGTTGAGAAAATGTTAGTTCATAATAATAACTTACCTCAAATAAGACCGAAAGATTTTATTCTGAATGATTTCGTAAATCACAAAATTGGTAGTGAAATATTTCAAGAATTATGTGGACTAAGCATCCCAACTATTTAGATTGGAGTATCTGTTACACTAAAAACTTGGTCACTTCATTAGCCTTTTTATTTATTAACATTGACTATGATTTTAAAAAAACACTACACATAATTATGTCTATATCATACATAGTGTGGACACGACGATGAAACATGAACGACAGATTTCATGAAAATTTGTTCTTGATGTCAGTCGGAGGTCGATGAGTGTATCAACAAAGTCATGCAGTTAAATATCATGCTATTCAAATTATGAAGAAGAATTCAGGTGCACGTAATCGTTCATCCTATGCCTGGTGCTCAATTCTATCATATTATCGATTCGTCAAGCAGTAACTAGAAAGGTACCATATTAGACTTGTGGAAACACTCTCTACAGGCAAATGTTGAAGTGAAAAGTGTCTGTCACAAGACAAATCACTCGCTATGCTCTCACAAAGCTTTAACTTACAGACAGACATGAGATAACTGTTAGTTAAATGTATGATTTCAAATTTACCATGGGGTATATAATGGACCTTCGTACTGAGTTTAGTTGATTGACAGTTGAATTTGATTGTATTTGTCTTAAAACTGTAAATAAATAGTCTTTTTCAGGTAAATTGTGTATGAGAAAAAACCAAATTTATTAAGTCTTGTAACAATTTGACAGAAAAAAGTAGCCATAAAGTAAGTCACAACTAATTCAGATACTAAAAAATTAATTGATTATTTAGTAATAATAATAATAATGACAGTAGTAAGCCATTTATGATGCGATATACAAATAACCAAAACTACCTTTTTATATCACCCAGACGTAGGGCATTTCGTGCAATACCAGCATTACACAAATCAATGTGTTTTGACCATTCTTCTTGATTGTAATCTTGTCTTTTTTCTAAAGTAACATTGTACATAAACATTGTATAGAATAAATATTCAGCGAAAATAAGCAAAAAGTTTGTGGTAGTTTGTAGTTGTTTATTCAGGATTGTAATCAGTCAGTCTCTGTCGCTATGTGTGTATCCTAAGTGAGTTGTTTCGATAAACAGTTATATCATATGTTGTAGTGGATTGAGTATATGGCAGGTAGTGGAATAGAGGATGTGCATCTTGTCCTATTTAGGACTCGTCAGATCAATAATACAGAGACTTAAACATCGCACTTTAAGTTTTAAACGCTTAATACATTATTCAAATGTCCTGAATTCTACTGATAACCACATATCAAATATACTACAGCTAATGACATTACGCTAATTCACCTTAGAATATTCAGCGACGAAAAATTAAAAGTCTTTACTAACACCAACAAATCAAACAAGGCTGATCACTATTTTGACTTAATAGGTTAGTGTTGGGGATGTTAGATCCTCAAAACTCGCTTGTTAAATGCCTTATTTTCGATTTCACGTTTGCCAGCATGGGCTGATCAGGTGACCTTGAGATTTCATTTCCCATCAGGAAAATCCATGGCTGTGATTGGCTGCTGAGAGTATCTTAGTGTGCTATTCTCGGAACTGTCCCAAGGACCTTTCTATGGTGTATAAATAAACGAGATTTCTGTGCTAGAATGTATCGTGATTGCTGGGTGTTTGTAGAATATACTTTCTACGCTTACAAAGACTTCTGTTACAGCTTGGGATTCAAAGTAACTTACCTCGACGCTGGTAATTGTCTCGTTCGCGTTTATCGACAAAGGTGAACTCGTAATAGATTCAAGAGTACCTAGTGACGAACCCTACAGTTAGGTACGGTAAATAACGTATTGAGCGTTTGAAGCTATGAAGAGGAGTACTGGGCTCAAGCTCCAAAACACCAACATCAATCCTTGACTTCAAGTACACCTATTTTTTCCAAATCTAACCTTCGACAAAACAAGCAGCCTGCATTCCACTACACATCGATTAACAAAATAAATCAAACATTTCAGAGAAAAAAAAAGTAACAATCTTCATACTTTGTGAACGTTGATGATTTTCTTCAACATTCCATAAAAGCAAATCTTCATTAGTATTATCGCCATCATCATCATCAACAGCAGCAGTAGCAACCGTCGGGTTCAATGCACGTTCATAATGCATTAAAGCATTGACATAATCACCGATACATTCCATTTCCATAGCATATTCACGACATATAAATGGTATTTCTTTTGGTGCTAAATTACGTGCTAATTGTAATGCATCTTCCCAGTGTAAAAGATCTCGTCTCATCTAAATTATAATAAGTAATAAGAGAGATAAGTTTATAAAATTCTGCCAAGTGGATAAAATTGGTTTTTCCTTATAGAGTTATAGGGATTATTTAGTATCAATGAAATTATGAAACGATTATTGGTAAACTATAATCAGGAACTTGAAAGCATAATAAGTGGAAGGTCGTGCAATATGAGGGATTGGTTGAAGTTGGACATTAACAGCACTGGATGTCGGTTGAGTGAGTGGAATAGAGGTTAAGTGGTGGCGCAAGCGACTGAAGGTGATAGGTTCGATCCCCACTAGTGGCACACATGGATGCGCACTGCTCTAGAGTCCCACACTAGGGCAAAAAGTTCTTTCAGTGCTTTCAGGCTTCTCATGATGGCCTAACAACAATTGGCTCATAATTTCATTAAAAGTATATAAGGGTTTTTTCACTGAAATAATCTACCATCAAAATTTAAGAATTTACAAAATATTGTTCAATGATAAATAATTTAAAGTGGATAGATAATGAACGTGGCATTTGCATATGGCTATTTCAATTATCATACGTTGTAATGAAAATTAATAAATTAGTTTATAGATAAGTTATTTTGTAGGAAACAAGGGAGGGAAGTAGATGAGCGAATTGACAGCTTCACTTATCTTGGGAGTCTCATCAGTGCAGATGACCTAGTGTGTGATGAAATCATAGCGTGGATAAATAAGGCTGGGCTGGCTTTTGCCGAATTGCTTCAATCATGGTAAGGGAGAGATATCCATCTGCTAACCAAAGGGGGAGTGTACTGCGCAGCAGTTCGCCCCGTTCTACTATATAGCTGTGAAGCACAGCTACCAAGAGGCAAGGGTATTCAGAGGTTACCAGTTTTTGGTCACGGGTGTCTTCAAAGAATTCCTCGCATATCTTGGGACAATCAAGTGAGCAATGCTATTGTAAGGAAAAGGGTACTAGGTAAGAATGGTAGGTCAGTAGATGAAGTATTGAAACTTCATCAGTTGAGGTGGTTGAGACATGTTTTATGTATACCTGATCACTGACTGCCATGGCGATATCTGGGGTTTGTACTGACGATGTTGTTCAGAAGAACAATGAAAGCTCCACAAGTAAAAAATACGGCTCCGAGAACAAAACACCACCACAATCATCCATCTGAGCAACAAATTTTCTCCACCATCTCAAAATCATATTGGTTAGCAATGTTTTTTGGTGTAGGGATAGGCTAGAAGGAAGCTAGGAGCGGTCAGATCAAAACATGTCACAAATTCTTGAAGCCACTAACAACTGAACTGAGCCATGTTTATAAATGTAGACTACTAGGTCGGCGTCAGCGAGGCAATAGTAGTCGATGGTTAGAGACTTTGAATGACATGGCTCGAAATAGTTTGTTATAGCCTAGGTACATCCACTTTCTGTCTTCTCTGAGATTCTAATTTCTTGAATTACTCGTCACCATTGCCTTTTTCCTTTCATATTTATTTCACCTGATTATTCTTCTTGGACGATTTCTTTGAACCCTAATCTTCTCCATTGCCTGTGATGCTGATCAAACTCTAGTATCGTGAGATTTGAATTGACAATTTGATCTCTGTGTGCTAATATGGTAAGACAGATGAAATTTATGTATGTCAGTGAATTTTTACTATCCTTATATTTTAACTGAGGCTACATCAAACCAATTTCACAACATAATTATGGACGAGGGCTAATCAAAATTCATGTCAAACTATTCAGAATTTTATGTTATCCTTTTGAGAATCACTGCTCTCATTTAATAAGAAAAATTCTTTGTATGAAACTTTAATTTTAAATACATACTTCCAACGCTGTGATTGGTTCCGATGAGATTAAAAATAATTCTTCAGCTTTATCGAATTCTTTTAAAATCATTGAAATATAACCGGCAAGTAAATAACGATCTTCAATCTTTTGAAGTCTTTGTACAGCTAAAATAAGACCAGGATCTTCAATTGATCGAAAACATCTGATTGCTAAATTATGACATAAAAAAAGAAATAATATTATATCATCATTTAATTTAATTTAGTGAATTAAAATTGATGTATTTTAGAAGTGAAATATGGACTTCAGACATACACTACTGAAAGCACCCAACTGCTTAACAAGACAAGGCCCCACTTAGAACCTTCAAGGTCAAAGGAAAAGAGGAAGGTCAGAGAAATTATACGTTGAGAAATAGAGAAAGATATGAGAAGAATGAACAAAAATTAGACAGAATTGGAAAGGGAAGCCCAGGACAGAGTAGGCTGGAGAATACTGGTCGGCGGCCTATGCTTCATCGAGGGTAACAGGCGTAAGTAAGTAAGTAAGTAATTTACACGAGAAATTACTGAATGATAACTAGCAGGACAGTCCAAGACGTGCATCCTGTTTGATTCAGGACTCAGTGGTCGGATGTACGTGAATCTGGATATTTTTCCTTAGACGTTTAGGCAAAATACTCATCGCTTCCGCAGACAGTGAGTTATTTACTAGGTAGTGAGTCTGATATTTGGACTATTGTTCGATTTATTCAGTTGGATAGTGATTATTATGATTGACAGTTTTAAATGTGACATTGAACACTTAACAATCAGCCATAATTTAAATTGTAAATTCAAAGTGTTCATACAAATGAAATTGACATTTGCTTTCAAATGGTTAATTAAAGTAAATTTAGTCATGTATTTTATAAGCAACTAAAGGAAAGAAGCCTCAGAAAATCTTGTAGAAAACAAATTACATTCTATTGGTAAAAATGAAAACTGTAGATGGTTGAGGAAAATGAGCTGATGTTGGTTCAAACGATAATTTAACAAAACGAATCACTGAATGGTGACTGTGTCAAAGAATGTGTATAGTCATAGTTCTAAGATACTCAAAATTTAAACCGAAATTGAATAAATAACCAAAACACTTTGATTCCGCACAATTTTTTAAAATATGATTTCGTCTTTTGATAAAATCCATGTTTTCCACTGATGTAAATGTATGCAAACAGCTAAGTTGCATAAGTAAATTATGTAATATATACACACTGAACTTTGACTCTATAGCAAATGAATGATTTTTCAATGCAAAAAAGATATTTGATTTTTAAAATGGGACATTATTTGAAATAGTGATATTGTTTTACAGACAAATGTAAGTCTGAATCGGTTTATTGCAAACTTAAGTATAAAATGAAGGTTAAAACTGTATCCTGTTGTTTTTAAGTATTTTGAATACAAGCGATAAGAAACCCCATAGATTAGTCACAGTCTGAATAACTCAATAGTGACGCTTCAGTTTATAACACTAAATGACACATAGTCGATGCTCTTGATGACTATCAATTCTCTCAAAACATCAGATAAGACTTTACAAGTAGGAATCATCAGGAATAAAATCTAGATCCAAAGTTTCTTAGAAATCATCTGACATCACCTAACATCACATTATAGCGCAGGCAATTTCAAGTTACTTTGTTTAATAAGTAAGTGATTTATTTAGAAATAATAGCTAGATAAGCATTACATTTCTAATATTACTGAGTAATCAATAAATGTACTTTATTGTGATCTTTCATGAGACATAACTGGTCATTTTTATTATTTTTGGAAAATCGGAAATGTGAAAATGGCAATTTAATCAGAAGAATTAAAACAAAACATTGCTAAAAGTTGAGAGTTTTTTAAATGATTGCTTAGCATTAAATAAGATACCTTATCCGTGCGCACCCAAGACCTCATTTAGGAAGAGACTCAAGAACTTCAATCATCGTTTAGAATACAGCCTTCAGGTCACTAGCTTATTATCCAACGGCCTATGTTTCTAAGTTTCATTGGATTGAGAAATAACGCGACTACCGTAAACTCCAAATGTTGATGCCTGTTTCATCCCCCGATATGTTTTAATTACGAAAGCTATTGCTTCTCCTTTGAACTCTGAGAGTCACCTCTCGAAATTACTTATTATTGATCGAAGAAACGATTTCATTTGAAGCGCAATTAAACTCACTAAGAAACACCGTCAAAATTGATTTTGTAATCTTATACACTTACCCAAGTCGAATTTCATAACACGTAAACAACTCATACCCAATTGATTCCAGATTTGTTGTGAATCCAAATGATTAGCAAATATTTCTGCATCTTCGTAACAGCCAGCTTTTAAGGCTTGTTCAAAGTAGATAATCTTCTGCATTGGAATAGAACAGAAGATGTATAGTTTTATTATCGCAAAATATAATTATTACTATTACTGTTACTACAAATAAGTAGCTGAAGCTAGTAATATGAAAAGATATGTGACGACTTGAAGATTCATAAGAAATTCAGTTGGCACGAAATGTTTAAGTCATAAGTTGGATAAATTCAGGTGTTGTGGGTGGTCACTATTGAGGTGGTATTCTAAACTCAAAACAAACAAGTGCCTCCTATTCTTCCGTAGTTTTCGGCTCTTTTTAATTTGTGATGAAAATCATTTTGAAATTAGAATAAACTTCACAAATCAAGAGACTGAAAACTTTCGTAATTCAGTTCATTTATTTGACCACTAAAATCCACATATCATACCTCTATTTTCATAATATATTAAACTGTCACATTTACACATATTTCTCTACGAATGATTGTGTTATAAGCTTATTCACTAACTTTTCTCCGCACATATAAACTGGATTTATGTGGGTTTTTATGACAATTCATACTAGTATACAGTTACTTCATAGATATTTCTTGCAATGTACGTATGCCCAACTGATTTAAATTTGTAAACTTCTGTTTTTCTACCTTGTATGTGTTTGAAAAAATTTGAGATGAAAGGAATTATATTTTCACAGTCGAAATCACGAATCGATGTGAGATAGACCACTAATGAAATCCTTGAAGCACTGTACGGCCATCTCTTCAGAGTGTTGGGCTCATCAGCCGTACACACCAATGACCACGTAGGCAAGAATCAAACTAAGGATCTTCGGTTTCGCGAATGAACGCTTAATCAATAGACAGTTGAGCTAGTAACCAGTGGTGTCACTTTCTAACTTTAGTCAATCTTTCGTCTTGTGCAACCTGTCATACACTCCCTGAGTCGAGTAAATAACTGTCTCATATCCCACACAGATTGAACTCCACAGTTCATGCAAAAAATATCTGATAAACAACATATCTAAACATCAGAAATTGAATAAAACATCAACAATAATAATAAATTAAATACTTCACATGTTATATAAACTAACATACATCATGAATAGATAACTTCTTTAATCTTGTAGATTCTAAATTTTTTTTAAGCAAATCATTGTTGAAATATTTCTCATCATTAGTAGTTAATTGTTTTATTCCAGCTAATTTAAAAATAAAATAAAATATTTATTACATATTATTATTATTAAATGTTCAATTTACTACTATACAATCGAAATTGATGAGTTGTTAACGATTGAATTGATAAACGTCCAGTTGGGCTAAGCATGCATAATTCCCCATTGACACAGCATAATGGTATATGTCCATAACATAGTCGTGTAACTCCAACTAAATGACAATTTCCAACTTGAATAAAAAAGATAAATAAAATAAATGATGAAAGCAATTACATATTTAGTATAATTTGGGAAAAGTTGTTAGTATATGGAAGTAGAGAATGAATTATACTGTGGTGCGCGCTACTTATAAGTAGTATGTGACGCGAGTGAAGACGTAATGTTTGGCAGCAGAAGATGGGGGAAGATCAAGAGAAAGGAAGAGTGGGAACACAATGGAATTTGTATGAAACGCATGAATAGTGAGTGAAATGTCAGACAATGGATTGATGACTGATTCAAGATTTGCAAATTAACCGTTTACGATATGGTTTTACTATTTTACTGATTAACTCTGTAATTTTCGTTAAATACAATTCGGTTGCCCTCACCTGAGTTCTCCTTCACTACAATACCACACTAAAGAAATTATAACTCGTTAAACAAAATGCTAAACATTTAAACTCTACCCTGTGAGTTGGAAGGTTTTTCATTGAGAAGAGTTATAACACGTCACAATGAAAGCCAAGTATTTTCGGAAATCGACAATAAATCAAATAAACATTAGCCAGTGAGTATCTTTTTAATTGAAATAGTAATTAGCTAGTAGATGTAATTCTAACATAATGTAGTGAAGGAGAACAGAGGTGAGGGCAACCGAATTGTATTTATCGCCAATTACAGAGTTAATTGGTGAAATAGGAAAACCATATCGTAAATCGTTAATTTGCAAAACATCAATTCATTGTCTGACATTTCACTGTTGATGCTGTTCATACAAATTCCATTGTGTTCCCACTCTTCCTTTCTTGATCTTCCCCCATCTTCTGCTGCCAAACATTACGTTTTCACACGCGTCATATACTACTTATAAGTAGCGCGCACCACAATAATACACTATTTGTAAAGAAAATCGATTTCTCTAATTACTATTCTCTTCTATGACTATACATCATATTAACAAAGTTTCTATAACAAATTTTTTAAAACTAAGAGTTGAGTATATTTTATATTATACATTGAAATTGAGCATCAGTCATTGTTAGACCATCATTAGAAACCGGGAAGCACTGTATGGCTGTTTCATCCTGGTATGGGACTCAACAACAGTGTGCATCTACTACTCTCGCTGACCACAATAGTAGAACCCGAGACCCTTGATCTTGTGAGCGAACGCCTAACCCTTATCCAACTGTGCTAAGGTCTAGCTTTGATCAATCCAGCGTATTGCGAAACCTCACCCCACTGTCTTCAGTAAGTAACTGCCTACACTCGACGGGATTAGACTTCACTAGTCATTGGAAATCATAGTTAATTATGTACATAATAATCTTCCTCAATTCATATGATATTACTAAAGAGGCCTACTGATTTATTTAAATGAGAGAAGACCTAACAGCGAAGAAAATTTCCTTTTCGACTATAACATTTTCTAGAGTTGTACAATCACATTTTTATAAGTAATTTTCCATGTACTAGTTGTCTATAGTAAAATAGAAGCGTCTTACAACATTGTCAAAGATAGTCAAACTTATTCAAGTGAAAATCAAGGAAAATGTAGCAGTGTTACATAATATATGGTAGAGATTATCAAAACGTTTCAAGTATTACATAGAATAATAGTAATAATAATTTGTAAATAGAAAAGTATTTTATTACAATATAATTAATTTCTTAAGTATTCAGATTACATGATTTAGTAAAGTAATCAAAAATCATGAAGAGCTAACGTTATGTAATAGTTTTGGAAGCCAAAAGATGTGAAAATGTATAGAATAAATATCAGAGATAATTGTCCACTTTATAGAGGGACAGAAGACCAAGGTAATAAGTAGCACTAATAATTTGTAAAGGGGCTGGTAAGACCATGGTAGAGTAAAGGATTGAATTAATATTAATATTATTTAATGTAATAATAAATGAAGTGTCACAGTGGGGATTGTTGTGTTTCACAGAAATCATGGGTCGATCAATGTTAGACCATCATTAGAAACCGGGAAGCATTGAACGACCATTTTGTCATAGTATGGGACTTATCAGCAGTGCGCATCTCCAATCCCTGCTGCAAGGAATCGAACTCAGGATATCCAAACTTACGTGCAAACACTTAACCTCTAGACCACTGACATGAGAATACTGTACCACTAATTCCAACGGCATAAAATCAAACAATCTTATAAATAACGTATAATATACATAAAGCCAATGTCATACGGTATTTATTTCTGTATAACCCTCCAAACCTGATTGGTCCATAGCATTATTGATTGCTAGTTTGAGCCGCCGTATGTTTTAAACTACCTGTTTGATGTCTACAATATATTTATGATCGGCGATTAAAAATGATGAGTCAGATAGCTCAACATGGATTGAAATTTTGCAGATGAATTCACTCTTTGTTTACCTTGAGATCTGGAGTTTTGAAAATCAATTTTTATACTTTTTCATTACATGAATTTATTTTCTTTTTACTTGATACGTATTGTCTGTGCCTAGTCTTCTGCAATATCACTAATACTGTTACTGCTTCTATTGACTTTGGCATTTCATTGTGTTGATGTAGTGTGTATACGTGAATCGATGCTCGCATTTATGCGGTCCAACTAATTGACTGACTGAAAGCAATGATCAATGATAAAAACACAAGTACCACCAATACTACTAATAATTTTAGCATTCTATAGTATTCCGTGAATTTGATCAAGTTAGACATTAACACCGTTGGATACCGGCTCAGTGGTCTGACGGTTAGGGCGTTCGCGCACAATACCCAAGGTTCTGGGTTCGAATCCTGCGGGGTGCAGGAGTCGTGGATGAGCACTGTTGATGAGTCTCATACCAGGATGAAACGGCCGTCCAGTGCTTCCAGGTTTCTAATGGTGGTCTAACATTGATCGATTCATGGTTTCAAAAATGTATTCTAGTATTTGTCGTGATAATTTCATCTCAACTTATCGACATAATGTGATAACCTGAACTAATCATCATTGATCTCAGATTATACTTTGCCCAATAATTAACTGAGTCTGAAAATATAGCTATTAAAAACAAATTAAGTTCTTGTTTCATCATAAATAACCATTAAAAATAAAAATAAAACTTACATACTGCTGTTGCTCTGCTAGGCAGCTTGTTAGAATCAATTCGATGATTATTACTAAATATGCTCGATGTCACACTGTTACTCCTATTAATTATCATACTATTTAAATTATTAGTAGAATTTGTAACAGAAATGGAGGAATCATTCGAACATTTATCGGTTATTTGTTGCATTGACATTTTTAAATTGTTATCAGCTGTTCTTGGAGATACTATTGATATGTTTGTCAGCATGCATTCATTCACAAAGTAACGATAAACATTGATTCGTACACTGTCGTAAGCAATCAGTAAAGGCTGAGCGGAAAAACAGAAAAATGTGAGAAAAGAAACTATTGACAACGATTAAGTATTTGAAACCATCAATCGATCATTGTTAGACCACCATTAGAAACCTTGGAAGCACTGGACTGATGATTTCAAATGCGTAAAAACACAAACCTCCAAAACTTTGCCCCAAAATATCGTAAGAGTGCTCACTAATGACTAGCTTCGTGAGGAAATACTTGGAGTTCTGGTTGAGAAGACCTGATTAACGGAGTTCAAACCTGTCGGTTGTAGGCAGTAACTACCAAAGACAAATGGGTGAGGTCGCGCAAAATCTGCAGATCAATCAGAGTTAGACATTAACACCGTTGGATGCCGACCCAGTGGTCCGATGGTTAGGCGTTCGCGTGCAAGACCGAAGGTCCTGGGTTCGAATCCTGCGAGGTGCAGGAGTCGTGGATGCGCACTGCCACTGATGAGTCCCATACCAGGACGAAACGGCCGTCCAGTGCTTCCAGGTTTCTACTGGTGGTCTAACAATGAATGATTGATGATTTGAAATGTGTAAAAACACAGACCTCTGAAACTGTGCCCTTCCCCCAAAAAACGATTAAGTAATCTAAAGTAATTAGTGTCTTTGATAAGTTTAGATAGTGTAATGAGAATAATATGCAATTGTATATCACGTAGTGCTGATATTCCTATTAAGTAATCATGAGTTTTAACAGTCAGATGCTAGGAAAACGAATGAAAACAGGGACATAAAGTATTACTGTCTTTTTAATATGAAACATTTACGACAGTGTGACCACAGTGTGTTTTTGTGTCATTCTATAGTTCCAACTTCATTCAATCACATTAAGGAATGGCTAAAGCACTCGCTCATATTATTAAGGTATCCTCAAATATTTATCTTGTACTTTGTAAAAGTAAAGCCTCGGAATAATTTGCACTTTGATCTACACATTCTAGTTTCAAAACTAAATTGTTGTAATAAAATAAGTAAGCTAAATTGCAAGGTATGTATGTATGAAGATTTTTATTGATTAGCCATAGCCATATAAAATCTTAAATTTCTCTTGTGTATTCAATTATTTCAGTTCAGTCAACTCATTTGGGCGATGATCAACCTTCTATAGAAATCAGTTAATTCTAGTGATTGAGTAGTGATCAATGTTAGACTTGTTTAACTTTTTTAGGGCTGATCGAATGTTATCGACTAAGTGCACCAAATAAGGTGTAATCTATAGAGTATGACTAGTTATCACAAACAGTCAATGATATTTAAACCATCCCTAAACTGTTAAGAATAGGTTGAATATGGGGAACTCAAGAAGCGCGTTTCGTCTTACTTGATACTTGTCAGATGGATATACCTGTGTTGGGGATGTTAGATCCCCAAAACTTGCTTGATAAATGCCTTAATTTCGGATTTCACGTTTGCGAGCATGGGCAGATCAGTTGACCTTGAGGTTTCATTTCCCACAAGGAAAATCTATGGCTGTGATTGGCTGCTGTGCATTTTAGTGTGCTATTTTCGTAACTGTTCCAAGGACGTTTCTGTGATGTATAAATAAACGAGAGTCGTGTGCTTGATTGTAATGTGCTTGTTGGGTGTTTGTAGAATATACTTTCTACGCTTACAAAGCCTACTATCTTCAGCTTGGGATTCAAGGTAGCCTATCTGGACGCTAGTAACTGTCTCGTTCGCGTTTATCGACTAAGGTGAACTCGTAATAGCTTCAAGAGTACCTAGTGACGAACCCTACACCTGTATCCCAGATTTGTGGGTCACCTCAGGAGTTAAACACGATACGCATTATTTATTACTTTGAAGTGTCAACCAGATTACTAAGCGAAATGTTAGGACTATTCAGACATCACTCGTTAAGGTTATTGCATTTGTCATTTTAATCTCAGATTTCTCCTTTAAGTAATTTTAGAAATTCTGATAAAATATTCACTCTGCATGAATATTTCATTGATTTATTCTATTGACTACATGTTAGGGAGTTGTATCCCAAGAACTCACTTGGACAGGTCCTAATTTTCTAATTTATCTCTTAAATTTTGAATGTTTTCGCGCCAAGGGACGCTCAATCGACCTACAGCTTGCATTTCACACTCGGAAAATCCTTGCCTGTCATTAGTTCATGCATTATTTTAGTACGCTATTTTCTGGCTCTCACCAAGAGCGTCTATATCATTGTATAGATAAACGTGATTTGTATGCTTAGACACCTCGTATTTTCTGGGTGCTTGTAGAATACATTCTCTACGCTTTGTCAAGACTTCTTGCTTTGTTAGCGGGGCCGGGGATAAACGGATTAGAATAGCTGATCGTGTCACTGAATCATTGCTGTTCGTTTCGTTTGCCGAGTAAGGTGAACTCGAGCTTATTAACTGACTAGCATACCACTACATATGTTTACTATGAGGATGAGATGAGTAAACAAAACAAAGCAATTTCTGTTTAAATAAAAAATGAATATCTACTTCTCACTAAATAATGAATTTTACAGATAGATAAATAGACAGAGTTGCAGTGAGATTGATTCGAGGTTCTATATTCAACGAAATGTTTGAGATTTTGATTCAATAATGATTTGATTAGTGACAGTCTCACTAGCTGACTAAAGAGATCCATACAAACGATGTTAATTACCAACAAACTAATCGTCACGCTTTCAATGAAACACCTTTACTTATCCAATGAATTACGGGTACATTTCAGGTGGGTTTTTTATTACAGGTTAATTTCAGTTGAGGTATCATTTAAAACTAGGGAGCAATGGATGGCTATTTCATTCTAGTATAGAACCAGGAACACTGAATAATCATCACACTATATCGAAAATGGACTGAAAATGAAATAACACCACTGAATATCAATCTAGAGGACTTAAGTTCATGAGTTTAATCCCTGACAATGCACTTTTGTACTTGGATAAGTTAGCTATCTAGTACTTACTGATTTTAAACTCTACTCTTTGAAAAACATCATGTGTAAATCAAGTTGATCATTACATGACCCATTCAACTAAAACAAAGGATCCATGATGCACTCTCATCAACGTGTGTATTTTTTGTGTCCGAAAACTGTTTTATTCTCAGTTTAAACAAACCTTAGTAAGTGTTTTTTTACTCTTTGTTTCAGTGTGAAAGAGTGTCGTGTCTCAATGCACTTGTAAACTATACTAGTCACCATTGTCTGTTGAAAAAAAATATATCAATAAGCTAAAATAACTCACATTCTCTGTATCTTCTAAATCCCATAAAATATTATTTACTGAAGGACAAAACTCTGGAATTTCTATCAATTGATCGTTAGCCTTAATTAGTGAAAAAATAAAGAAAATCAGTAATTTAAATGTATGATTCAATGTTCAAATCATTAGGATATAATCAGTCGTAAGTATATATCAACTACTTGATCATTGAATATAAGTAGATTATAAAACTAACATGAAAATATCGTTTATTTTTTTATGTTCTATTCACTATGAAAAATGATAGTGTGTCAATTCGTTAATTTGAAACATTGACTGATAGTGAACAAGGCATGGAGAAAAGCTGAAAATGCCTACATGACAAAGTTGTGTCAGTTCATGAAGTCAAAGAATGTGATTTTGAACCAAGCTGATCGCTACAGAAAACTCTACCTACAATTTAGATTAGAAGCTAGTTATCTTGAAGACATCGGATAGCATGGTTTAGAAATGATTATGATCAAGACGATGCATTATTCGCTCTCTGGTTCCAATCAGAAGATTGTGAATTTCAAAACTATTTTGTATTTTTTTTGTTGCACGATTTCATTACTGTTAAGGTCGTCACTAGGTATGCTTGAAACTATAACGGCTTCAACTTAGTCGATAAACGAGAACGAGACAATGAACCAGCGTCCACGTAGGCTACCCTGATCCGATGACTAACGAAAAGTCTTGATATAGCGTAGAAAATATATTCTCAAAACACCAGCAAGCACAATGAATTCAAGCACACAACTCTCGTTTATTTATACATCATAGAAACGTCCTTGGAACAGTCACACAATTAGCACACTAAAACAGACAGCAGGCAATCACAGTCAAGGATTTTCCTAGTGGGAAATGAAATCTCAAGGTCCACTGATCAGCGAATGCTCGCGAACGTGAAATCCAGAATAAGGCATTTATCAAGCGAGTTCTGGGGATCTAACGTCCCCAACAATTATTACTCATAATTTGATAGTGTGTGGGACGTAGGATCCCCAGAACCCACTTGATAAAGGACCTAATTTTGAATTTTGCGTTTTCGCGCATGGTCTGATCAGTTGACCTTGAGATTACATTTCGCACCAGAAAAATTCTTGACTGTTATTAGTTGATGTAGTACTTTAGTACGCTATTTTTTGTGGCTCTCCCAAGGATGTCTCTATCATGTATAAATAAACTCGATTTGTGTACTTGTCAACATTGATTTTCTGAGTGCTTGTAGAACACACTTTCTAAGCCATATCATGACTTCTTCCTCTACTTAGTGAGGCCTTAAGACATTCGGATTAGAATAGCCTATCGTGTCACTGAATCATTTGTCTTCGCTCTTGTTTACTGACTAAGGTGAACTCGTAATAGTTTCAAGCATGTCAACTGGTGGCAAACATGACAGATAGTAGTCTTGATTATTGCATCTTACTGTAGTAATCTAGTATGATCATTTCAGAATATCAATATTTTTTTATCTGATTCATTGTTGTCTAAAACTGATTGACTGACTTACTGACTGACTAATTAACTGGCTGAACAGTCAGTAGACAAGTTGATAAATCAAGAATAGAGTAGGACTACTACTATTAACAAATGGACTATATACAAAGAAAAACTACACAGAATACACAGTATATGACAATAGATATTGATAATTTCCAGTCTTTATAAAGGTTCTACAAAATGAAAATACAAATAATATTGAATTGAATTTCCTCATTCAACCAATTGATCATTGAATATCAATCAGCAATTCAACAACAGAATTCCACTTTTTTTAAAAAAAAAATTAATATTTACAAAATACAAACATGACTTACTGGATTATAAATGAAAGCTAATGCTTTTTCATCAATCAATGCAATACGTGTTCCAGTTGTATTCGGGAAAATATGTAGGACAGCACAATAATGATGATATTTATTAGCATAATTCCAATTCAATATATTGAAATGAAATATTTCACCATGCTATATATACGAAAAAGGTGCAGAAGTGGATGGGGTTTGAAGGGAATATTGAACACAGGAATATATGGCACAAGATGAGTATTTTAGAAAAAAGATTGTGATATTTACATTGAAATTGTGAATCAATCAATGTTAGACTTCAAGCTATACCTAACTTTAGTCTAAAATTTAACTGTAAGCTATTTTTGGCTCATGTTCTTTTGATGCGTTCTTTAATATACTAGTTTCCCATTTTATTACTTACTCGTATTGTTCTTGTGTCCATTTACAAGTGTCCTTGTTAGTAATAATCCGTAATGACTAGAAATGTCACTTAGGTAATTGAGAATATACCACATAATATTATTATTTACTGGAAACATGATCATAGATTATCATATGTGTATTTGTATTTGACATTGAAATAATTTACACATTTAAAACCATGAATCGATCAATGTTCTATCACTATTAGAAACCTGGAAGCACTGGACGGCTGGTCCTTTCTTGTATGGGACTCATCAACAATTACCTGTGCTCACTAGTGACTAGATCCGTAAGGAATCTTCTCTGAGTTCTAGTTGGAAGTCGTGACAGTGTATGAGGTTGCCCAACCCCGTGAATTAGTCGAAGTTAGACACTAACACCGTTAGATACCGGCTTAGTGGTCCAGAGGTTATACGTTCGCGAGCAAGATTGAAGGTCCTAGGTTCGGATCCTGTGAGGTGCAGGAGTCATGGATGCGCACTAGTGATGAGTCCCATACCAAGATGAAGCGGCCACCCAGTGCTTTCAGGTTTCTAATGGCGGTCTAACATTGGTTGATTCATGATTTCAAATGTGTAATTTAACTAATTGACCTCATAAAATGTAATCACTGGTAATGTAATCGATTCATGCGATACCGAAAGAAAATTGACTGGTATAGTAGGATGTACATGTAAGTCAGGAAATATTAAGACGAATAGAAGACATACGAAATATTGATTATTTACAGTACATCTCTAGGATAATAATCTTAGAAAAAGTTTCAAAGAATCAGTGTGTTTATCCAAGATTTTTATCTCAGATTAGTTATGGCTGGTAAAAATAACATCTTGTGTCAATGTAAGTACTTTATTTAGATCAGTTCTTTTTAATCGTATTGAACTCGTCGATATTTCATCGATCAACTTCGGGTAGATTTTATACAACAATTACATAGTTCGTCATTTCCAATAACAAAAATTAGCAGGTATTTAGCTGTTTATATTAGTCAATTATAAATATTTTGTTTATTTGATACTATGAAGGTTAGTTTTATTTGATAAAAATGTAACAGCTAATAATTTTTCTTGTTTGTTAACTGTTTTATTCATTTGTAGAGACTGTTGTGAAATGAACTGACAAGAAGCTCATTAAAATACATACATATAAATAGTGAGAGTATTACTTAATTGTTTTATATGTTATTTATTCATTTTGAAATGATGAATCGATCAATGTTAGACCACCATTAGAAACCTGGAAGCACTGAAAGACAGCCGTTTCGTCCTGGTATGGGACTCATCAGTGGCAGTGCGCATCCACGACTCCTGCACCCCACAGGATTCCAGCCCAGGACCTTCGGCCTTGCGCACCAACGCCTAACCTCTGGGCGCTGCGGGGTGCAGGAGTCTTGGATGCGCACTGCTGAGGAGCCCTATACCAGGACGAAACGGCTGTCTTTCAGTGATTCCAGGTTTCTAATGGTGGTCTAACATTAATCGATTCATTGTTTCAAAATGTGTAACTTAACAATCTTCACAAACCCGTAATATTTATACACTAGCAACTGAAATGTTTGAAGAAACAACTAACAAACCATTTAGACACTTTATCTCTCTCTTTTTATAAAATATTTTAGGTTTTGCTACTAAATTACAAGGATGGAAAGAGTTAGAAATGGATGTACACTAAGACATACAAACATCTTTATCCTTTTAACTGATTACAACTTGTAAAATTCTCTTGCTCTTTGAGCTGAATGTTTTGGTTGCGGAGCTATCGCTGTTCTTCTGACGAATACCATTAACATAAACTTTATGTAGACGTGAAGTATTTGAATTTCTCCACGTATGACTTGTAGTTTATCCTGTTGTAATCGATCTTGATTGGTTGCTTTTGAACTTCAATCTGTCATAGTCTGCCTCATTATTTCAATAAACCTAAACAACCAGCTCAGAGAACGAAACTTCCACTAGAATCATCCAACTGAGTAATAAATTTTCGCTACTATTTATAAAACTCTCTTTTTTACGACGATCAAAGAATCAAACATATAATAGTTAACGGATTAAGTATATCACACTCATTATTCGATTTTTAGAATACAGGCCATTGAGTTAGCTTCTAATAGTCTGTAATTTTAACTTTAATAAACCTGTATTACTGTGCATAGTCCTAATGAAGTCCTAATAGAGTTCGACCACATTGAAAGGGATACAAATACTATCATTAGGCAATATAACAAGTTGACTGAAGTTACAAATTCAAACAGTTAGACGTCTTAGAGTTTACCATGTAACTCGATTTCGATTCCTGGTGGCTTTGTGAAAGTGAATGCCTGAGGAAGAAATCTAAGAAGCCACCAGTAATTAGTATTTTTAACGACTATTTATCTGAAAGCAATTCCCTTTATCCTCAAGTATACTGTCGGCAAATATGCGCTTCTCAAAATTGTTTGATTTTCAGTTTCATCAAGAATTGTTGATATGATTTGGCGTAGGTACAGTAAAAAAACAGTTACTGAACTATTAGCACTCATGATTGTGCAACAACGTAATGTTTAGATTTTTAAATGGGCTTTGAGATGGTGGAGAAGATTTGTAGCTCAGGTGGGTGATTGTGGTGGTGGTGTTTGGTTCTCTGAGCTGGGTGTTTTAGTTGTAAAGCTACAGGTCAAACGTGGAGAAATTCGAATGCTTCACTTCTATCTGACGTTTGTGCTGATGATGTTGTTCAGAAGAACAATGAAAGTTTAAATGGGCTTTTTGAAAATAAAACTATTCAAAGAAACCAAACCAAACTAGATTACTTACATTTGTTGAATAAACTAGAAAATCATTAGTTAATTTAAATGATGTAATCTTTAAATCAAATGAACTTGACTGTGGAAATATACACGATTGATGTGGCAATTGATCGGTATCATTATTAAAAATGTTATTCCATTGGTTTTCATGTTTCGTCATTTGTGATTGATTAGAAAATGTCTTTGGATTTATCTAACAAGTAGTGTAATAATCAAAAAATATATATATTGTGAATGATTTAAAAAAATTCAAATCTGTTTATAAACAAGTTTACATTGAGGTAAAAGGAAAGAGGGAATATTTTTGAAAACAATCAGAGTATCACATCTGAAAAGCAGTGTTTCCTTGGATTGTTTTGACTTAACATTTGTGTTGGGGATGTTAGACCCTCAAAACACGCTTGATAAATGCCTTAATTTTGGATTTCATGTTTGCGAGCATGGGTTTCTGATCAGTTGACCTTGAGAGCGCATTTCTCACCAGGAAAATCCTTGACTATGATCGGCTGCTGTGTATTTTAGTGTGCTATTTTTGTGACTGTGCTTGATTGCATTGTACTTGTTGGGTGTTTGTACAGTATACTTTCTGCGCTAAATCAAAACTTCTCTTTAGCCGTTTCAGACCAAGTTAGTCTACCTGGACTCTGGTTCATTGTCTCGTTCTCGTTTATCAACTAAAGTGAACCCGTAATAGTTTCAAGCATACCTAGTGACGAACCTAACAATTTGTAACACGGTTATTTATATTGTGAATTATGAAATGCATACAAAATTCATTACAGTATTATGGATGAAATACACAGACTATAAAAATCATTAGGTTTGTAAATATACAATCTATGATAACAAAGATGATTTAATAGGTCGTCCTAGTTCGGCTTTGTACATCAAGTGTGTTTTTAGTTTCCTTCATTGGTAATCATTGTTTCCAATTTAGATCTATAGTACGTTGAAAGATAGCATCATAGATTTGATTTGTAGAATGTATTAACATAACTTCAGATTATGTGCTTCAACCAGATTGTAGAAATATATTGTTAATTGTACGCCTAAATATAATATTCATTTTATCAGACGTCACTTAACAGCTACACTTTGTCCGATGCTTGAAACTTTAGTATAGTTGTAATCATAACTCTGTGAGCACACAGTCTGTTAGTCAGTTGCGTATGGTATAAAACGTGACACATGTGTGCATAAGTCCGTGTTGAATAAAACGTCATAAAAGAAAGACCATGTTATTTCACGAGAGATCCAAGAGTAGTAATGTAAGTATCAGTAGTGGCTTTAGGCAAAAGGTTTACTGAGATTTCCAGGTTAAGCTCATAGAAGAAGACAAGGAATGGATGCGCCCACAGTATTGCAAATATTCCGAGTAATACCACCCAAAGTTTCTAGCAATTGGTTACGTTAATCATCAGGATTCCAACCACGAAGACTATCTCTTTTAACATGGCTCAGTGCAATCATCAAAATCTGCATAGACTGATGCCTTGTCTTGGTTTGGTCTTTCCTAATTTTCTTTCAACCTACTATTACACCATACAACACTACTCATTGAAGTAGGGGGTGGGAGGGCATAAGTAACACACATCCTAACCATCTCAGTTGAGGATAACGTACCATCAATGCCTGTCCTCTGCATTGTTCACCTCATGTTGTTAGAACACATCAGTAATGATTTCAAGAAATTTGTAATCAAAAATTGCTAACCTACAAGTATCCTCTATTCTTAGTAAATATCTTTAACACCTATAAAATAGAACAGAGCAAACTGGTGAGAAGTAAAATGGACGCTTGGTTGGCGCATGGACATCTCGTCTACACTTCAAGTGATAGAAGTCGATAAAGCCCATTCGAGACTTATGAATCCATGCCTAGATTTCGTCAGAAATCAGCCAGTCAGGACTTGATGAAACGAAACTAAAGGAAAGTGAAGTAGCTGAAATCTACAAATACTTTAGGAACTAGTGAAACTATGAGATCAGTGTTGAAGTAACCTTGTAATTCTCTACGCATAGTAATCAATTTCAAATCTAAAATGTATTGATATGGTGATGATACTTTGAAGAGAATGACATCAAAGTGGGTAATGAGAGTAATGAGAAAGGTTAACTTAGGATGCCTGTATCATATAACCAGCTATGTTGAATTCCTAAAAACATGGGTCAGTCAATCAAACTGAGAGATTTAAAACTGTTTGCTAATCATATTTTAGTTCAAAATCATTTACAGACATGTGTCTAGTCTGCTGAATTCTTCACGAACTAGATACAATGACCAATCAGTATTTACATTAACCTATTTATATCTATACTTACCCAGTGTAACGTAAGCTTTCCGTCTTGTCCACAAGCTGCAGCATAATTCTCATTCAAACTTATTCGATCCACAGTAGTTAAATAATCATGTTCTGATATTAAAACGATTTCTAAAGATTGAGTAATGAAATAATAAAGATTATAATTGTTACTAACTAAACAGCACACTTATAAATATTCATGAAACATAATTACACTAACTGTATAATAGTGATAGTAGCAGCTTCATTCAATCCTACTTCATCTCAGTGGTTTACAGCAAATCATTTTAACGTATCTAGTTACACACTACTATTATCACTTGAATTCCAACCAAGGAGTTTATAATTCGTGTGTACAGATTCGTTCAAAAGTCAATTACTTCAAAGATTGACGTTACATCTTCATTTGTCCAGATCTAGTAAGATTTTCTCTTCGTTTTTTTTACAGTGTGGAGGGAAAGTTACCAAATACACATTTGTCAGTGCTAGGCGGTTAAAGTTAGTTGGCAGGATATCCTGATCGAAGGTTTTACGCCAGTTTCTTTTCATCATCAAGGCCTCTTTTTGGCCTTGAAGGAAATAATACTTCAAACCCACATTAATCGGCTGTTTGGGTAGCGCTAGGCAGTCACATGTAATGCCTGTTTAAACAACTGATTCGAGTTCAAATCTGAAAAGAAGCATCAGTTCGCAAAAGGCTAAAGGTATAACTTACTAATGAAAGTCAACTAGTTCAGGCTAGACCTAGGACTTTTCTTGTTGACTACGCCCAGCCAATCAAAATCCAAATTGAGTGCAATCCATGTTGAGTCACCCAAACTAATAAGCATATGTAAACATGGTCTAAAGAATTCGATCAGCGTCAAGAACTCGACAAAAAATGACACTGACTATACTATTCACTCGTCAATCAATACAAGCACGAGTTTGCCAAAACTGTTCTTCTTGTTCTAAGTAATTTTATGACGGAAATCAATTGTATGAAATAATCACATCAATGAAATAAATTATGGTCTTTTCAATCGACCCAAAAAAATCGATATCGTCAATATATTGTCAAACATATAAAATACGAAGCAATTACATCATAATACCTGATTTAGTCAATTCATAAAACCAAACATGATTATTTATGCCGACAGCTAGATATTTTTGTCCAAAACCAATAAATGTTGGTTCAATGTCAATTTTTAATAAATATGATGTTTGATATAGTTCAGGCAAGTTGATAATTTGCTAAAAGGTATGAGAAGAGAATATATTGTTAAATAAACAAGTTAAACGGAAATTTTTTTCTTACAATCAAGTTATATTAAATGATATGCATAAGTACATGATATTTCAAATTAATCTACTGTGGTTTATAATCTTGTAAAATATTCCGAAAAGGATTGATTATATTCAGTCACAATGTGGTGCGAGCTACTTATAAGTAGTATATGACGTGAGTGTCAACGTAATGTCTGGCAGCAGAAGATGGAGGAAGATCAAGAAAGGAAGAGTTAGAAAACAATGGAATTTGTATGAAATGCATGAATAGTGACAATGGACTGATGTTTTGCAACAGGAACAGTCCAGTTCGATATGATGAACTGATATTTTGAAAATTAACGATTTACGATATGGTTTTCCGATTTTACTGAGTAACTCTAATTTTCGTCACATACAATCCGGTTGCCCCCACCTGTGTTCTCCTTCACTATAACAACAATATTAGATCATTTGATCTATGAGTGAAATATTTTCATTGTAAAGTTGTGAAGATTGTTGAGTCTCATTGAAATCATGAATCACTCATTAATAAATCACCATTAGAAACCAGGAAGCACAGGTAGTCCGTTTCGTTCTAGTACGGGAGTCTTTCGAAGTAATCATCCACGATCTCCGCTCTCCGAGGGTCAAACCCAGAATCTTCGATCTCACGAGCAACACAGCCTCTAGAACAGCCTGATGAACATCATAAAAATGGGCTCATTATCGTCTAGCTTTGTGAGTTCTAGTGAGAAGCCGTAACCAGTGTAGTTTGGCCCTGTCGGGTGTGAGGCAGTTGCCTACCAAAGACAATGTGTGACGTTGCGCATTGCCTTGGATTGTTTAAAGTTAGGCATCAGCAGCATCGTTGGATGCAGGCTCAATCGTCAAGATGTAAAGCGTTCATGAGCTAGATTGAGGTTTCTAAACGTGGTCGAACAATGATCAATTCATGATTTCAATGAAATATTTGTAAAAATTAATGTTCAATTTATTTTGCCATTATAATGATTAGCTTATTTCTTAATTGTTTTAGACTACTTGAAAATGATCAATAAATAGTATATTTTTATTTTTTTTCAAAAATATACTTCACTTATTATTATTTGAATATGTAAAGTGTAATCTTTCCCATTGATGAATGAGTCTTTATTATTATAAGGTTTGATTAAAAATATCTGATCACAAAACACAGAACACACCGGTTAATATCAAAATATGTACACATTAACTTTAATTTCCATTAGCAAAGTAAGTAGATAACTGACTGTCTTCTCTTACATGTTTCTTGGTTATCAAACTACACTCTGATCACGCAAAGCATTTTAATCGCGAGTAACAACTTCTAACCAAACCTACACTACATATTACCTATATGCCACTTTGTGAGTACTATCCAAGATACCCGCCATCCATAAAACTGCCGTGCATTCACCTATTTTGATCTCAGTAGTTCTGTTATCGATCGCTGTTTAACTGTTTCTTATCCATTGATTCACTGAATTCACTTTCGAAGGTGGATAACACCCATCGTTTTCCTCCTTGATACCTTTCTTGATACTATAGACCGGTCTGTCATGACGAAGTATTGTTCTTACGACTTAGGTAGAAGTTTTTGTGAACCATCTTTTATCCCTCCTATCCGTTTTCATTTCGCCTGATCTCCTATCGCGAAAGGCTCCAGCTTCTTCCTTTACTTTTACCGTACACTTTTTGTTTCTGTTGTATGTTCATTACCTCTTGTTCTCTCTTGTTCTTCCACTGTGTACGATCCCAACCATGTCCTCACTGTCGTTTGGCAAACGTCGTCTTTTGCCATACACCAACTGAAATGACAAGTTTCCTGTTGTTTCTTGAATCGAGACACGATGAGCCAGTAATATCATTAGAAATTCAGTTTCCTAGTTACCACCTACTGCATTTAGTCATACATTTAGTGTACGATTATTTCATTCTCTTAATCCGTTGGTCTGTTTAGGGTATGGGGTTGTTCAGATCCTTTTGATGTCCAGCTGACCTGATGTAAACTCGACGCTCTCAAAATATGAGCCTTGATCCGTCAAAATCATTTCCAGGACGCGATGGTCTGCCACAATGTGCTGCATTAATGCTTCACCTACTGTCCTTCCGTGTCGGTCCGTCCGGAAACCTAATTACATCCACCTAGCGAGTGGTATGTTCTGTTATCACTAATAAGTACTTATTACCATTCGATATCTGCGGAAATGGTTCCATGATGTCTACTGACCATAAGTGTTCCACTTTTGTTACCGAAATGGGCTCTACAGACGTGTGTATATATCGATCTCGCTTAATCAACTGGCATCAAGGGCAAGTAAGTACATGTCATCACATCTTCTTTGAGTTTCGGACCGTACACACTTTGTCTTAGTTAATAATTTGTTAATGTAACAGCTGTATGCGGCAGTTGATAGTATTCACAGATCATTTCACAGTGTGACTGTCTGGGAATTGCCACTATCCACCTGTCGTCATCTGCTCCACAAGTTAACACTCCCTTTAGCGTTCAGTTTTAATCGGCCCTTCTAGTTTAAGAGCATGATTACATTTTTATTTAACCTTGATTTACTATCGTCAATTCCTTCATCAAGCGCTCATCTCATTAACGAACGAATGTTCCTGGATCTGACTGTACCCTGCTGACTACAAAGATCGATTCCGGTAGGTCACTCACTGTCTACATCTCCGATCATATTCCAGAAAACTTGAGACTTGACAGGCAAACAGTTTATAACAGTTCAGTTGCCCGTCACCTGCTTGTCAGTGGTCATGACGTTAAAGTTCATGAATCTTTCTAAATAATCGGCAAACATAACGATTCCAAATTGGTACACATTGCTGAGACTGTTGCAATGGAAAGATTTAAACATATTCAAAAAGAAACAGTTATAAATCTTGTTTGGCCTTGATGACCTCAGTTTTTTTGACTCCATGAACCTTAGTCAAAATTCTAATGCCTCAATTCTTACTATACGGTGATTCTATCATGTATTGGATGAAATTATGGATAAGCATCCCCTTACACTTCGGGTAAGACATTATGAATACTGATAAGGAAACTTGCTTTTCAAGAGAAGAAAGTTATAAATGAAGAAACCTTGGACAAAATACAAGGTCATATGGTAATTGAAAACTGCAACAGTAAGTAGGTTTACATTTCTGCAAGGGTTGTGAACCAATGTCAGATGGATAACCGTTGGGTCTACCCGGTTATATGAACTCACGACTTTATTAGCATCAAGTGTTCACTAGTGAACTTGCTCATGAGTAAGTTCTCTGAGTTCTGGTGAGAAACCGTGTTCATTGAAGTTCAACCGTGTCAGGTGTGTGAGGTGTTTTCTCACTGAAGACAAACTAATGAGGATTACGCGTTATTATGGATTGTTTGAAGTCAAACAATAACACTGTTTGATGTTGTCTCAGTGGTCAGGAGTTTAGGCGTTCACGGTCAAGATTGAAAGTCTTGGGTTGATTGATGAGTCCCATAGTGACGTTCAGTGCTTCCAAATTTCCAAAGGTTGCTTAACATTAATCGCTTTGTGATGACAAATTTCATCTTGTAAATCAGATCGATTTTATCAAAGGAACAGATTGTACGCAGATCTAGATACCAATAATAAGATGTCACATTGCGTAAAGTCTTAGACTGACTGATTTTTATATGCCCTTCCTTTCAGAATTGACTAGGTTCACTATTTAAATTAGAATTTCGAAAACACACGCTGTTGTAAAAGTAATTTGTCATAAACTTTGCTAACTGACGATTAACCTCTTTTTGTAAACTGTTTTAAATGTATATATATTGCAGCTGCATACGTTATTTTTCTTATTTGAATACGTCATCTTGAAGTGTAACACTGTGAAAGTTACAACTAAATCTACACCGTTCATCACAAATCAAGTAACAGTAAATAGATATATCAAAGAGTTAATCAGCAGTTAATGGAAATGAGCTAGGTGCTACAACCTTAAACTAGATCAGTAATTTGCAAAGTGATGGAAAACAGTTTCAAAAATAAAGACTATGCCCAAATATTTAAGCTGGAGCACCAACGAATTAAAAGATGTGTTCTGCTGTGACAAGAAGACATTTCATGGTAGAAAGTGGAGACTGCAGAAATAATTGATTTTATGTTTAGCTACTTACTATTATTAAGTAGTAAGTCGATTTATTTAAAATATTGATTTGACATAAATGCAACTTCTCTATGATAACTTTTTAAAACTCCAAATAAATGAAATAAAAACCACTTATTTTTGTTAGGATATCAAATTTAGGAACTATCTAGCCTAAAATTCTAGTCAATCGAATTTGCGAAATATACAACTCTATTTCATCAGCAGTGTGATTCTACATCTCCTGCACTTTGCAGGATTCGAACACAGGATTTTCGGTCTTGTACGTGAAGGTTAAGTGTTCACGTTCCATACCAGGACCAAAAAGGCCATCCACCGCCTCCAGGCTTCTAATGGTGATCTAGCATTGATCAGTTCATGAATTCAAAAACTAACTTAACCATCTCCACAATCTCAGAATGCAAACTCTAGTACAATATGAACGCAAGAAACTCTGAACTTAGTCAGTCATATAAAAGATGCTGTATACTGTTAACTAATCGAAGACAATCGTCAACAACAAACCTTGTGCCTAAACTTTGCTCTAGTGAGTTTTATCATAATGATGTTGACGATGTATGGATATAATGTCTATTTCGTGTTCATGAAGGACCACTGGATCAATCAATTCACTCATTTATTCTTTTTATCCGATAAATTTAGACTGTAAAGATGACATTATTATGTTACGTCTTAGTAAACGGTAATATTTATCACTATACTCATTTTATAATATACAGGAATGTAAATGAAAAATTCTAACCAACTAAACCATCTTCTATAATAAGTAGTAGTAGTAGTAGTAGTAGTAGTAGTAGTAGTAGTAGTAGTAGTAGCTCTGCGAGTGGTGAAGATTTTAGGTTATAGGTCTGATATTATCATGGATATGAAAATGATAGAAATTTCCAGCAACAAAAAAATGCGACCAACTTTGGTAAGGAGATTAAAATCATGATCATTTTGGTAATTTACTTAGTCACTCAATTAACAACAACATAGAACTTGGTACGTACGTACGTCAGTTCAAGTTGCCATACCACATTAGCACAGAGATGCAATTGTCACTTCAAATCCTATAGAAGTAGAGGTGGTAGAAGTATTAGTAGTAGTCGGAGATTTTAGGGTTCTACGATTTTATTCACGAAGTAGAATTTAGTGAAATAGACTTAAAAATATGAAGGAGATGAGGAATTCAGAATGAAACTGCGCCATTGCAAACGATTCTGAGCCATGTCATTCAGGGTCTCTAACCATCGATTACTATCATTTCGCGAGTCACAACCAGGTGGTCAACACCTATCAATATGAATCAGTTCAGTTGTCAGTAACTTCATGCATTTGTGCCATGTTTTGACTTGTCCGTCCCTAGCTTTCTTTCAACCTATTCCTACATCTCAAAACATAGCTCGACTAGGCAGTTGGGTGTTAGGCATACGCAACAGGTGTCTCAACCACCTCAACTGATAAAGATTCAACACTTCATCTATTGATCTGTCACCCTTACCTAGGACAAGTTTCCTTACTATAATATAACATTGCTTATTCAGTTGTCCCAGGATTCACGAGCAACGCTTCGAAGACACCTATGATCGAAAACCAGCAACCTACGAATATCTTCTACTCTGATTGGTCATGTTTCGCAGCCACAAAGTAATTTACTTAACTCCTTTCAAGTGCTTCAATAAACTTCTTTACAATTACTTTCAACTATCTAATGTCTACTACGGTGTGTTATCAAATGAATAAATCTATTAATAACATTCGATTATCACAAACCAGAAGTAAACAATCTTAGATCACATTGAGTAGTTATATACATATAAATATATATACATGAATAGTTATTACCTTAGCATTTGGTATCGGTTCAATTGTAATCTCCAATAATGAAGTCAATCGTGCTAATAGATTGGTACTGTTGGGTGGAGCTAATGCAGCTAACATTGGCAGCTGACATAGAAATACATGTAAATGTTTTTGTGGTGTACAAATAGCCATTAATTGACCATCATTTGACCATTGTAATTGATATTTTAATGTACTATTATCGATACTTTTAGGTTTTATATTGTTATTAATAGTAGTATTATGCTGATGCTGATGCTGATGTTGATGATGTTGATGATGGGAATGATGATGAATCACGTCTTCATCGTCTTGTTGTTCCAATTCAATAATTGCTGTTAATTCATGAATATTTTGTAAATCGTGAATTTTGACACTATAAACAAATTTGAGGAAAAGAAAAGATTTTGAGATGGTGGAGAAAACTTGTAGCTCAGGTGGATGATTGCGGTGATGTTTCGTCTCTGAGCCGAAATCAAGTACAGGAACCAACAAACGGATCATCCTACTATACATAAAAGACATATCGGAACACACAGCACGACTACTAAAACCATTTGGAATAGGTGTGGCACACAAACCAACAGAATCACTTCAATCAATCAACCAAAGGACAAAATGACAAAAGAAGAAAAACCAAATACTATCTACAAAATAAATTGCTCAGACTGTGAAAAACACTACATAGGACAAAGTGGACGGCCTCTCTAGCTTCGTTTACGTGAACATCAATTAGCAGTCAAACGCCAAGACATTTCTTCGCTTATATCAATACATACCGACAATTATGGACATACATTCGATTGGGACAATGTGGAAATACTGGATAGGGGGAGGACAAAGAACACTAGGGAATTTTCAGAAGCCTGGCACTCAGGTCAATCAGCAATCAATAAACACATCGACATTGACCTAATTTATCAACCAATGAGAAAAATCATAGGAGACTTAGGATCAAGAAACAGATCGAAAAGGGGATACAATCAAAACTAATGTACAAACAACGATAGGTTTAAGGTCAATAACAAAAAATCAAGATCGAGGTTAGCAGAACAAGCTACAGGTCAAAAGGGGAGAAATCCGAATGCTTCAATTCTATCTGAAGTTTGTGCTGATGATGTTGTTCAGAAGAACAATGGAAGCTCCACAACCAAAACAACCAGCTCAAAGAACGAAACACCACCACAAAAAAAGATTGTTTGTATTATTATGAGTAAATGGGCATTTTATATGAACATAGTGTTGACATTCATAACAGAGTGCTTAATCATTTTTCCCTTAACATTTGTGAGTTCTTTGTGGAATGTTCCTCCGATATATGCATTTCAAGACAGAATAAGTTTAGCAAGTAGTAGCGCGTTTTCTGATATTTTAGATTTATTACTGAAACCATGGATCAATGAATGTTAGGCCACAATTAGAAACCTGGAAGCACTGGACGGCTGTTTCTTTCTGGTATGGGACTCATCATCAGTGCGCATCTACGACTACTGCGCCAGCTCATGATGGTGCTGACGTCGAATTCGTGTGTAACTAGTGACTAGCTTCGTGAGGAAATTCTCAGAGTTCTAGTGAGAAGGTGAGACCAGTGGAGTTCAAACCTGTCGGATGTTAGGCAGTAACTACTGAAGATAAATGGGTAAGGTTGCGCAAAATCCCTAGATTGATCAGAGTTAGACATTAAAACCATCGAATGCCAACTCAGTTGTCCAGAGGTCAGGCCTCCGCACGCAAGACTGAAGGTCGTGGTTTTGATTCCTGTGATTTGCAGAAGCCGTGGATACACACTGTCGATGATTACCATACTTGGAAGAAAGGGTCTTCTAGTGCTTCCAGGTTTCTAATGATCGTCTGACAATGACTGATTCATGAATTCAATAATAAACAACGATCTCCATAACTCTAACTGAAGATTAGTTGGTATTTCTTAACTGGATACATCTGCGCCTTATTGTTGTTGTTCACGCTGGGACTCGAACCCTGCATCTCTCGCTCTGAATGCTAGCGCGGTATCCATTGAGCTTCTGAGCCTAGATCTTTATCAACTTGTTCAATGAGCACGATGTTTTTATCATCAGTATTAGAAGTCATTTTCGCTCACTTTGAACATAATAAATGGGATGGAAGTGTATCCCGTTGACAAATCCTGTATGGCATGAACTACATATCCTTGATTCTATTAGTGGTCAAAGTTCAAATATGCCAAACATTTAGTTGTAAAAGTATAATATATTGACGGCCCTGAGTTAACCAGTCAGAATTAAGATAACGCTTTATGCTAGTTTGGTGACGAAAACTATGGTATGATAACCTTAACTCACAAAAATTCTCCAACTCCTTAATTTTAAGCTCAACTTCGACAGCGTTTCCTGATTGGCTGTTTGTGTCGCTCAAGGCCGTGAGTATGGTATACATCTACCGATACGATTTGTCAAAATTCCCTATTTTCATTGCTTGAATTCAAAAATTGCTTCGAAGAATAAATAAGTAATATTTTCTGTATCAAATAGTTCAGATATGATGGTTAAACAGTTTATAACAAAAGTCTGATTTAAATTGTCGTTACTTAGTTATAACACAGACAGATTAGTTGATGAAATTAAGAAATGATGAGAGTAGAAAATCGATAAACGAACAACTTTTATATACTATTTAGGCTTTTCGTCTATTGATTTTAAATGTGCTGAGGATTTACAGAAATGGTCTTTACCTGCCGACATGACTGTAATAATTGATTTTTAAGATGAATTCCATGTTTTGTTTGTTTTTTCTCATCTTTGAATTTTTTAAGTCGAATTCAACTTTGAGCTGACTTAAACATCTCATTCCTAAGAACTGAATTAGTTTTGTCTAAAAATTTTATATCTAACCTCGATACAGGCAAATTAGTGGTTCGAATACACACACCTGAGAAGTATTTCAGTGGTACTTTTTATCAAATAAATGTAACTAGGAAATGAATTATTCATTTTAACAGTCAGTCAGTTACAACGTAGAACTTCGTACGTACGTACAGGTACGTAAGTTCAGGTTGTCATAGCACATTAGCACAAAGACGCAATTGTCACTTCAAATCCCATAGTTGTAGAGATAGCAAAAATATTAGCAGTAATGGAGAAGATTAGGGTTCGAAGATATTATTCAAGAAGTACAATTCAGTGAGAAAAAATTTAGAGAGAGGAAGATTAAGGTCATGAGGAATCCAGAATATTAAAATTTCATTGAACACAAAGAATGAATGCACCTGATCCATTGCAAACGATTTTTAAGCCATGTCATTGAAGGTTTCAGTTATGGCTATCTGCAATGTAGCACAAAGTGAACTAATGCACGATTATATAGTTACGCTTCGATAGGTTTATAAACAATTTACAAGGTATTTTCTTTTGAACCTGTGACAAATGAATCTAGTAGAGGTCATCAGTTGATAACCCGATTACAGATATCAAATAAACAATAAAAAGAGGCGCATGTATAAAAATGAATTGGTTAAAATGATCGCGCTTTGTGTGTTATACCAATTCTAATAAATATAAAAATGTATCTGAACACATAAGAGAATGAGACTGTGGTGCGCGCTACTTATAAGTAGTATATGACGCGAGTCTAAACGTAATGTCTGACAGCAGAAGATGTGGGAAGATCAAGAAAGGAAGAGTGGGAACACAATGGAATTTGTATGAAACGCATGAATAGTGAAATATGTCAGACAATGGATTGATGATGGATTGAAGATTTGCAAATTAACGGTTACGATATGGTTTTCCTATTTTACTGAGTAACTCTGTAATTTTCTTTCAATACAATTCGGTTGCCCTCACCTGTGTTCTCCTTCACTACAAGACGAGAAACAATAATGGATGTAACAAGCAGCACTTCAATCGAAAACTTATATTAACTGCTGTGTATTTATTTATTATTGCTAGAACCTAAATGAAGACAAGTGTCTAAACTGCCGAAATAACATCATTATAACTAATTAAAGACGGATAAAATCCAAATATTTTATGTCATTGGAAAATAGCTGACATTTTGAAAAATACCCTCACTATACTTACCAATGATCACCAACAGTTGCACATCGATTTAACACTGTAGACATTGAAATATCATGTAAACTATCTTTATGATCACGAATTTGATAGATTTCCTTTAAAAGAAAGAAAATAGAAACGAGTTTTTTTACAAGAAAATTATTACTTTGCCAAATTCACTTGAATGTGTTGAGATTACAACAAAGTAACCATTTGAAAAGCCAACCATAATATATCCATCACCAAACCAATGATATGCAATTAGATCACCATAAGTTTGACGAAATGCCAATTCAAATGGATTTTCCATATTATCCAGATTTAATAAAAATAATTTCTTCTTACCAATAATACAACTGACCTATAAAAAAATAAAATAAGGAAATAAGTAGTAATGAACAAAATGTTAAAATAATAGTACTTTTATAAAGAATTCAATTGTCATATTTGTCTGCAACCAGAGTTCTGAGCTTTAGTTATGTGAAGAAAATGTGTATTGCATGAAAAATGCTACTTTTATGTTCGCTGAACATTTTGAAGGTTGAAACTAGTCAATAAAATACGGATTTTTTTATCGTTAGAACTGCGAATACAATGAAAAAGACTACTGTAATCATTACAAGAAACTCTTCTGTCGGAATGCATTCATGGCAACCGTAGACAATAGAAATAACCGTCTTCTACGTGGTACTGATGTACAGGGTCTACTATTTCAACGAAACTGGTTAACAGGTTGGCATCATTCCACAGAACACAAAAGATCGTACACACGATCTCCAGATACAAACGGAAAACTAATCGTCACTTACAGAAAAGTAAGTTTTCCTTATTGTATGTAGTAAGTTTAAGCAAAGCCACTTACTGAACTTTCGTTGTGGCAGTCACGTCAAAACAAATTATTGGTATTGGCCTACCTAAAAAACCTACCTGTTCTTTCAACTAATAACCGATATGTCGGCGAAACTATGCTAAACACGATCGCAATTAACGTGTGTAACTAACATTATCGCATATTACATCATGACTACAGAACCATCCTCATTCTCAAAAATCCTGCGACCAGCTTTTGAAAAGCTGAAAATGAATTCGATGGCTTGATGGATTCAGGAATTATTTGGCCTCCAAGTAGCCCAAGGGTATCTCCGTTAAATATATTTCCTCCAAAAAAGGACTGCAACGGTTGATGCCCAGTCGGTAACCAGTGACGACTGAGTATAAAAGCCACACCTGATCGCTATCCGTTGCCCCACATTAACGGCTTAACAGCAACCTCAAAACATACAACTGTCTTCTCAAGAACTGGCTTGGTCAGACTGTATGGCCTCCCTGTGGCTGCTGGAGACACTCTTAAAACCCCATTTGGATTATCGAAGTTTATGCGCCTCTTTCGGTTCTAAGAAATGCTGACCAAACTTCCACAGACTTATTGTTGACGTTTTCGGAAGCCTCTACTTTGTGCATGCTTATGTTGATGACTATCTAATCGTAAGTTCGGATAGAGAATATCATGCCTAAAATCTGGATTCTGTTTTCCAAAAACCTAAAAAATTCAGCATCACAGTTAACATACAAGAATATCCATTTGAGACTGGTTCCCCAAACTTTATCAGTCATGCTATTGACGCTCAAGGTATTCTCTCTCAAAAAATAAAGTGAAAGCCATTCTGTATTACCTGGAACCGACCACAGTCAAGCAACTAGGCATGTTTAATGGACTGATAAGTTTTCACCGACGGTTCATACAGTAATGCATGTCTCTCATGAAACCCGTAACCGACCAACTATGTAGAATTGCGGTTCGCTTCAGATATACAAAATATTTCTGCGGCAAATAGCGCAGTTGCAGACGTCTTGTCTGGCATAACTTTGGACAGTTTCCAAGCAAATGACCTTTTTAAATCCACTCAGCTTCAAAATAAAGACTCTGTACGAGTTATCATAGACGACCCTGAAACTGGTAATCAGAGAGATGAGAACAGGTAGGAAGACTTTACTTTGTGATATTTCTACAGGTAAGGATCGTTTACTCGCACCGCAACATTATCAGTGCTCTATCTTTAACATTCGGCACGAACTTTCTCAACGACTTTGCTAGCCTAGTACGGATAAAGACATGAGGGAGTATGCATACTTCTATGTAAGCTGCCGGAAATCCAAGATAACTAGACAAATGTTCCTTATTTATCTTCTCACCTCCTGATTCTAGTTTCAATCACATTCATCGTTACTTGGTAGGACTGTCACCGAAATCAAATAGATATCCCTAGCCCCTGATATATGTGGATCATCTTACGTGATGATCAAAATTAGTATCTATCAAAGATATTACTGCCAATTTAATTTATACGTTTTTCTATTGTGTTAAAAATAAATTATGTTGGGTTATTTTTCATATGCTGATATATATATATATATATATATATATATATATATATATATTTGCAGTTGTTTAAAGGCAAAAAAACAGTCTCGTTTGTTATCTTTATTACCGTCGCACGGTGTACATAAACATATATAGCATTTTTTATTTTTTAAAGTTCTGCTCGCCTACATGATCAGGAATGTACGACAACATGCACTTACATTTTCACTCGATTTCTCTTCCAGCCTTCATGGAAAAGATAAAAGGCAGCAACAAAACACAAGGAGTTGTCCTTATCACAAGCAAGCTATCAGAAAAGTGTTTAACAAGGTTAAACACACTATTTATAATCTGCTGGCTGATCTCGTCTTCGGGTTATCACCATCCCAATAGGGGAGAATGAGCTGTGGCGGTAAACAAATTTCCAAAATAAATAGTTGAGTCCTCGACAATGATGTTGACCTCATTAGTTCTACTGGACACACTTTAGGTTGGGACGTTCGGATACACATCCGTATCAGATCATATGGGAGTTGTTGTGCAACGCATCTTCTCCCATCAACTAGCAAGCTTAGTTCACTCACTCTTATACATTTATATCCATTATTCAAATTTATATCCTACCCATTTCTGACTCCTGGTTTGACTTGGCTTCGCACATCCTTGATCTGAAGTGTTAAGGACAAAAGCATTGTCCAACACTTGATATCTGTGACATCCTCAATTCTGTTAGACTATTATATCTAAGATGTCACTCCAGACATTGTGATATATCGGGGTTGGGGTGTTTTTCGTTCACTAGGGCTAAAGTAAAAAATGTTTATGCATGACTCGATAGATTGGGAACCACAATCATTATGTTAGCTAGACTCATCAAACTAACGACTTAGTATGAGTAATACCTTAACTTACTGTATTATCTTCATTTTTAGATAGATCATCAAGCTTCATCCGACCAAAGTTCAAACTTGAAGGTTGATCATGTATCATGGCATGTCTAATCAAATCGCCTTCGGAAGAGTTTATGGTAATGCTTTTATCGTCGCTTGCTAATGCAATGATGTTATTTTTACTCCACACAGCACATGCTATTCTTCTGGTGTGTTTTCCAAGAAGGGATGTTTTCCTATCAATTAACAGATTACAAAAAGACTCACTTCAAATTTTTATGATTGTATATGATAAGGTTACCCTTACTCGTCCCAATAGCTAAACGGCTACCCACTTTGGACCATGAAAGGATAGTGAGATTGTCTCTATAAATGAACCCAAATGGGCTGGAAAAATTACTTCATTCCAGTATGGATCTGACTGATTTTAAAAGAAATGGAATCCCACAATGTAGCGGAAGATGTTTTGTCATCGATGATTGCTAGATTATCACCATCTGCATCCCAGGACATACAGGTTGCCTCCCTACAGCCAGTAAAAAAATTATTTAATTACCCTGGTAAAGGTATTTCCAACTTCTTCTCACCATGACGATCAAAAATTTCTACCGACTGGTTGAAACTATTGAAAATACAAAGTTCAAAGTAACAAACTACCCGAAAGCAGATACATAAGTTGACCTGCAGTTTTGGAGCTCAAAGGGCCTTTGACTACAGTTGTTAAAATTTATACCAGCTGTGAAAAGTTTCTGAGTGGTTTGAGTTAATTCTAAATAGCCCTACCTTCATTAGTTTCAAATTACCGCTAAAATTAGCGTCCCTAGATGACTGTATCCAATATCCAATATCTTTTTCACCAGCTAGTGTAAACCAATTTGATTTCTTCGCGCTCGATTCTTGTTCTTTCGGTACGCTTCCAGGTGTTCGGTAATGTCCAATGGATGGAGGTCTAGCCACTCGACTGTCTAATTCTAGTCAGTTGGCAGTTGGTTGTGAGTTTGTGTCTCGGGATTTGAATGAAACGTTTGTTTCAGGGCAGTAGGGTTTCTGGATACTAGCAGCCATCACATTACCAGACCGGAAATCAGTTAGTTGCAATGTGAAGAGTAATAAGGGTAATAAGGATAAAATTCTAATGCTAATATGAGTAAAATTTCAGAACTGAGTAATATATAGATGAATTCAGTTTGTTAATTGGTAGTGAAAATTGTGAGAGGACCGAAGTGTAAGCAAAGGAGAGGAAACACAGATAATAGGCGAGATAGATTAATTGAGTGATCTGAGGAGATGGCAATGGTAACAACTAGCAGGTCTCAAGATATGCATCAGGCATAGCTTGTCCAAGAGGGAGATGATAGTCCGCATGTGAGTACGTGATTATCAAGTCTCTTCTTAAAGCAGTCCACTGAGGGGGCTGTAACTACCTCGGCTGGGAGAGCATTCCAAGTTGCGACGACTCGCAATGAGAAAAAGTGTGCACGAATCTGAGTATTCGCTCTTTGATGTGCAATCTTTCGAGGATTGCCTCGAGGGGAGTGGTGGTGATGCATCGGTAAGATGCTCACATTAGGATGGTTTGGCGTGTTTAATATGGTGTACGCCATAATCAGGTCACCTCTGATTCTCCTGTAGCTCAGTAGGAATAATCCCAATAGCTGGGGTCTATCGTCGTAGGGTTTATTTTTCAACTCTATCACCCATTTCGTTGCTCGTCTCTGCACTCGATCCAAGAGATTTATGTCTCTTTTAAGCAGAGGGCGTGTGATGACGTTATGAACCTCCAAGTGTTGGCGCGCGTACGTCTTAAACAGGGTTAAAAATAATTTCGGGGTTATAGCACCAAGCTGTCTTCGCATAAAGTGGAGAGTCGCATTTGCCTTGGCTGCATCCCCTACATAGTTTGGACTGGTGTGGAGGCTTTCTGTGGTTATTAAACCAAGATCGCGCTCTGAGGAGACATTGGGGAGCGGACGGTATAGGTCGTTTGCGTCATATGAGGCAGGAAATGCATGACGTGGCACTTCGGTTGGTCGAGTTTTAAACCGTTTTTCACTGCCCGTTTCTCAATAGATGTACGGTCCTTTTGAAGCTCAGTCGAATTCTCTTCGCTTTTAATGGACCTTCAGATCTTAGCATCGTCTGCGTAGATCAATGCCGGTGAGCTAACTGAGCCTAGCAGGTCGTTAATAAATATCAGAAAGAGGAGTGGGCCTAGTATGGTCCACTGTGAGACTCCCAAACTGGATGCTCTCCAACTCGCGTGCACCCTGTTTACCTTGGTGCGAAACTTTCTATTCTCAAGGTAGTTTCTGAGCCAAGATACGAGTGGGTCAGTGAAGCCCATTTCCACAAGCTTTTCGATTAGGCGTGCGTGGGGCACTGTGTCTAAGGCTACGCGCACTGGTATTTTACGTTGACAAAAGTCACGAGCAAAGGAACGGGTATTTGAACTATTCATTATTTATACAAAAACCCTTCCCTCATCTCTGCAGAGGAATCTAAAGTGACATAAAAATCACAGACCAACCATATTTCTATTGCGATTGTGGTGAGTGGCTATAATTCGTGCACCAATATTTTTAGATTTTCGTGACTTATTTTCGAGAATAAGAGACCTTGCACGTCAAGTCTTTTGAAGAGGACAACTGATCAAAAGAAGCATTGGAAGAAAATATTTACAGGACATGACTGATTTGAAATTAGCTAAAGGAAGGTTTTTTTCACCGATTGGTCGACACGTTCCTAATACAACAAGACCGTCTTCCTTTTTATATCATCTTCCAGAGGCATGTAAGATCTCATTTATATGTATCGGCATTGTCATGATGTTGAACATTGGTTAATTAAAATTCGTTGTTTCCTCAACACTAAGAACATTCTATATGCACACTTTTGTGGTTTAAGACTTCTTTTTGTAAGACATAAGTGGAAAATTTATCTCATCAAACTCTGGAGTTATGAATCACTCAAATAGCACTCCTTTCTCATAGTATAAAGGCTAAAATGTCCGGAAATTTTGGGCCATCTTATGTTTGTCGACTTCAGTCTACTGGATTTAAACATGACTGAGTTCTTTGCATTTCCATACGTCAACATCAATGGGTAGTGGTCCACTTGTCTGTGACTTCATGGATTTCTGCCATATTTTGGTTTGGTCGCACCTAACTTTCTTCCAACCTATTCCCACACTGCAAAACATAGCTCGACGAGGCAGTCGGTGGTTAGGCATACGTAACATACGTCCCAACCACATCAACTGATGAAGTTTCAGCACTTCATCTATTGATCTGTCATCCTTACCTAGTACTCGTTTCCTAACGACAGCATTGCTCACTAGGTTGTCCCACGACATACGAGCCTACAACTAGAAGTGACATTTATGTGGATGGCTGTTCAATCAATTTGCAGAGCAGAAATATCACGGTTAAACGTTTGTAAGAGATGGTGTTGCTATAACCCATTCAGTGTAGGATTGATTGATTTTACAGTCACTGATTATTAATGCCAAACAACATCCTGAAATATTTGGCATTTGTCAAATACTTTACTTTTCGCCATCTTATTTCCGTTGAATTTGCCTCCTTTTCATAATTTTGGTGAAGAATCAGAAGTATTAAGAGGATGTAAGTTGAGAAAAGAAAATAAGAATATTTGAGAAGGTTATGTTAGTTATTTTATAACTAATTGTAGTTATGTCATAACTAACCAATCAGATTGGTTAAGCGCTCACCACGTCATCTAGTCGGACCGGTCTATGGACTTTCTTGTTGTGAACGGCCTATCGATTGAAGGATGTTATTATTTTATTTTATATAGATGTGACTCATGTTTTTTATTCATTTTCTAAAGACACGCTATACTGTCCGGTACGTTTGCTCATCCTGCTTGATAATTGTAATTTCCTTATTTATTGTACTAAATTAATCGTTTTCTTTTTGTTTAGAAACAGATAAAGTTTTAAACCGAATTGTCTTCTGTTAACTATAGTTTCACTTGGGACTCTGTCATCGGCGGTATTTGCGTTTACGTTTTAGAATTACATCTGTAGGACAAATTAAATCCTACATAGTTTCGGACAGTATTTCATCAGAAGTTCATATACTAATTGCTTTCAAATGTCCACGGAGATTCTTAAAACTGATCAGATTCCTAAATTGTCTCCCTACCGCTCGGAAACTCACAGTGAAGACCAGTTTAGAAGAAATAGCTACCGAATAGATCCTTTGTTAGAGTTAGAATTAGCAAAAATACGTTTAGCTCATATAGAGAAGGAAATTGAGTTAGAACGCTTACGTCAAAAAGGAAGAGAATATCGTAAACAAGTTGTGGCCGTTTCCGAGAAGAAATCAAATTTGTTTATTGTGGAAAGTAACAGTGAACATGATAAAATGCAAATAAACCTGAATGGAACAAACCCTCCTCGCACTAAATCGACAGATCAGGATTTTTCTAGTTCTCCTTCTAATCATTATGTTTCTCACACAGAGGCTTCCGTTGCATCACTCAAAGCATCAAATGAATTAGCTAAGTCACCTGCCGTTCTATCAAGTTTTGCTATAGCTAAGAAAGAGATTCCATCTGATTGTGTTCTCGGATCAAATATTTCATCAAGCGTTGTGAATGCTGATGTGTCGAAAGATGCTTCGGTTAATTTATGGACATCATCATCTACAAGTCATGATTCTGCTTCGTGTCCCTTTACTGCATTGGCTAAAGTTGTTACAGCTTCTCAGACAGACTGTAAGGATTCGAAAAATCTAGAAGATTCTGCTAAGGAAGTAGTTGAAGATAAACGGGAAGAAACGTTAACTTTAGCGGAAGTCGACCTAGTTGCAGGTGAAAGAGAAATGCCAGTTATTCGACAGTATTGCCGAGCTCATAATTCCGATGCTAATAAACAGAGGTGTAATAATCTTGGACCTTTTCATTTCGAGTTAAATGATGTACACAACAACGGTGCTGAAAAGAATAAGAATCTCTCTGCAGGTCACGGATAGTAGTACGTTTAGTGTATGAATGCAGACTGTTTATTAATACTCTCAGTTGGTTACAAATGCCTGCTGCTCTAGTTGACTCACGAACTTTGAGAATGGTTGCAATTAATGAGGTGGGTAGTTATGTAATGGCTACATGGCGCAACGACTTCCAATGTCTTGCTGAGGTTCTAGCCCATCGTCAGCGACATGGTACAAGAGCAGAGTATCGCATACGTTATATTTGGGATCGCGTTGTAGAATGGACACCCGTCAGCAAGTTACGCAAAGCAACTCAGTACGAAATAGATTATGTCTTAAAATTCTGTAAAGAGCAAGGTACACTATCCACAAATAAAATCCCTAGTAAATTTGATCTGCAGTATTCATGTAGTAGTAGCAATGATTCTGCATCAGGAACATCTCAAGCTAAAAGAATAAGGACAAATGTGTCAGAAAGCAAGTCAATAGACCGCACTTCGGATCCTGAAACACATCGCTATCGGTCACGTCCTACTCATGTAAGTACAAGTGGTTTCTCTGTCTTAGAAGACAAGAAGACTCTTCTTCCAAAATTATTTGATGAAATCATCGAACAGGATGGGATGGTTTGTGATAAGAGTGTTTTCCAGTTTCACGAAGCCTGTCGAAGACGTCGTGAATTGAAAAGAAAAGCTATCGAAGAGAACGACACATGTCCATATAGATTCGACAGTGCTGTATCTGTTTTGAGTCAAACATTCACCATCAGGTCAAACCATCAGAACAGACGTGGTCTTAATTCAAAACATAATTCTATAAGAACCGAAAATTATGCAGCGGAAGCTACAGTAGCATCCTCACCGGT